AGGAGCATTGTGTTAAAATTGTACCTTTATTTTCAGAGTTTTTCCAGAGTGGTTGATCCTCTGTGCATCTTTACTTCTGAGTGATGTGGCCCCAATATTTTTTTATAAACAGTCCTCTCATCTCCAAAAAAGTTCAATCTGGTCCTCTGGATTGAATGTCCAGAGGACCAGATTGAACTTTTTTGGATTTTTCTACCTGGATTATTGAGCATGCATCAGGATAGTCCTCTCATCTGTTGCTAAATAATCTATCTAGTGGCAAAATTATCTTCCAGCTGTTTCTTATACACACCACTTACTTTTAAACCGTTTGGTGTCCTGTTCTTTAAGATGTGCTGCTGTTATGCAATTCAAAACCTAGCTCTCTCCTCCCCTCGCAAAAAAAATAAGAAAAGATAGTCTCTTAGTTTCAACTTTTAATGTTTACTATATTTTCACAGTAAAAGAAAGAAAAGGTGATGTGAAATATATAAATCATTGTTTTTATTTAGTTTACACATTTTAATGTATTGAGAATTGGGGTTGACAACAGGCAGCGTTTAGGCTAATCAGCCAAATACAAGATTAACCAAAATGAAGTATTCATTAAGTATTCAGAAACAGCTGGTGTGCAGAGATGAATATTTAATCTTTCAAAAATTAATGGATTTTTAAAGGTGACTTGTACAAAACAAAACAAAAAAAAAAGGCAGGTCTCTTGTTTGAGGCCATTTTTTTCCACTTGCCACGACATTGTCCATCACAGCCTTGACATAAAATCCTTTGAGGTCTTGTCTTTTTAATTTGTGTGTGTTTTATTGTTTATGAGGCAGGGTCAGATAACAAGGAGTGCCCGTGTCTTCATCTTCTCTTTGTGCAATAAACCAAACTGAATTCCATACGTTCTACACAAGCAACGACAAAGTTAATGTAACAAACCAATTTATTATTTGGGAATAAATGACACACTGACCTTATTAGAGTGGGTTTACTGAAAGTTTTGTTCAGAGTTGTAAATTACACGTGCAGTTTTATGTACCCATGTCAATCTAAGTATGCCTCTTAAATCTTGAGGTGTTTTAATGGCCTTTCAGCATTTTTAATTGAAAAAAACTATGTTCTGTTTTATAAACAGGATAAATCCAAACTGTTTCCACTGCTGAGCTGTTTTGGCACGTCTGAACCTCTAAAGCACTTAATGAGGATTATTGGAGGATTTCTTTCTCTGTGATAAGTTGCTGCACGTCTACAAAGCCAGTGTTTATCTTTGAACTGGTGTTTTTTGTTCTTTCCCTCATTTTTGCATGTCCTCATTTGGTAACGTCCCGGAACAACATACAGAAAACAAGTGAACATCTTCACTCGTGTTACTAAAACAGATAGTTAAGATTTCACCCTGAGATTGCCACCTGTTAAAGAGAAAGCCGGTGAGAGGCTTTGTAGCTACCGCAGCTCAACCCTTCTCGATCCAAAGTCCCCACATCAGACTGTCATTAACCTGATCTTTATCTGCTGTCTGACTCCTTGATGCAGCAGCAGCACACGACAATGCTCTCAGTTTATCAGCCTGATCTCGTTCCCAGAACAGTTTCATTACATTAAGCATTGACTGTGCTTGCCACAATAGTGTGAATGTTTATGAAGCATTCACACTATTGTGATCCATTTTCTTCAGTATGTTTTCCAGCATCTTTCTCGTTCCACAATTTTTGTGCTATTTCAACAAACATATCAAAACGTTCAGAGAGCTTCTGATATTCGTGAAACTTTAGTTGTTTTTTTTTTTAAAATATTTAGCCATTTCTGACATTTTTTTTTTTTTTGGTCATATAAAATTAATTGAGCTCATTTTACATCCTTCATATCTTTAGATCTGTTTACCTTTCACTGCTCCTTTCACATTTTGTGCTACTTCAGCTTCTTTGTGCAAATTTAAACATTTTTTCCGCTGTTTTGTGCTCCTTTCTGCTAACTACAACATTTTTGTGCTTCTTCGAACTTCTTTCTGCTAATTTCAGCTCATTTCTGCAAGTTTCAGCTATTTTGCTTTTATGCTAATTTTAGCATTTTTCAACTAATTTCCTATTTTTTGCACTCATTTAAACATTTTCAGCTAATTCAGCAAAAATGTGCTTTTTAATCATTATTAATATTATATTACATAATTTTAGATTCTTTCAGCTTTTTTAGCTTTTAGTGAGCCGATTTTTTTATTTCAGCCTTTTTCAGATAATTTCCACTTATTTGTGCCAATTTCTGCTTCTTTTAGCCTAATTGGACACAATTGTGCTCTCTTCACTTCCTTCTGGTAATTTAAGCATCTTTCTTCTTCTTTAAATACCATTCAGCTGTTTTTTTTCCTCCTCCAAATTTATTTTTTGTGCTAATTAACTTATTTTATGCTCATTTCTCCACATTTAACCCTAATTCAGCAAATACATGTACCAGTATGTGTTCCTTCTGCTAACTCAGGCTTGTTCTTCCAGTTCAGCTACATTTCAGCATGTTTTTAGCTAATTTCAGCTGTTTAACCAACAAGTTCTTCTGCAAAGAGCATTCACGCAAGTTTCACAGGTAATACAATTTCTCTTGTTCAGTATAGTCATCACTCATCCTCATACCAGTGTAAGACTTATTTGTACTTTTATTAGACTGATTTCAAATATTTGATTTAGCTGTAATTCATCTGACATTTTCAAAACAATGTAGTGACTTGTTCTTCAGAAAACAATAAACTGTATTTAACAATAGAAAGGGCATTTCCTTTGTAAAAACAGAATAAAACTTTGCTTCTGTAGAGGAAAATACTATACGATCCTAAAGAACATGGCAGTAAAAAAAAAAAATGATGAAAAGAACTCAAGAAATAGGCCAAGTGATGTATTTACATGGCAGCTTGAGCCGTTTGTGCCACTGAACATTACCCTCTGTCCGTGTCTTCACTACCATTACTGTTCAGTCTCAGATATATCGGAGCAGCGTGCCTTTCCTCTTTGGGCTGCCGTACGCGCTCAGAGCTGCGTCGTGGTGACTGCATCTACTCAAGCTTGAAATTTGAGCCCATTATGTCAACAGATGTTACAAACAGAGAGGAGAGCAAGCGTGAGGAGGAGGAAACACCACAGTGGGAGCACCGTCAATGTTACAGCAACAATTCAAAAAGGAAAAAAAAAAAAAGTGCACATCAAAATTTATGTATCTCTCATTTGTTGCAGTAGAAGTCTAAATATAATTGTACTTTATTTAAAAACCTTTTAAAAAAAGAGGAAAATTTGGGTGCAACTCATTTTTCAGACACATAAAACCAGCACTTGTCTAAAGTAACACACCTTTCCTGTGGCACTTGACAAACTATGTCACGACAAACTGCATCTATGTTTCACACGAACACGTGTGACAATAACATTGTTTAACCCTGACGTTTACGTTTTTGGTTTGATTGATACATTTTTCCATAGCGTTTCCGGAAGCTTCATTTGAACAATTTCTTCGGCATTTGTCGTCTTATCTCTTCAGCTCGTGCTCCCAGTAAGTGGAGGCGAGAAGTAAAAGAGGTCGAGTGTGTGTCGGTTGATCTTTGATGGTGAAAAGCACAAAAGCAGCAGAATTTAGGCCCAACAGAGAAAGTGCTTTTGGTCTGCTAAACTGGTGGATGTCTTTTTTTTTGTAAACACCACAGCACATAAACATAAAAACACTTCATCAAATCAGGCAATTTTTGCTTGAATCTGTAAAAAAACGAACAAAACAAAGATGCTATTCCAACTTTTGGTGCACGTTAGCAAACGAGGGTTTATCATTTGGACCCTACAAGATTTGAACAGACTCGTGTGTGCCTTGGTTAAAATACAGTGACAATGAAAAGGAACAATGGCAGGTGATTATCTTACAAACGTCTGGCCTCTGGCAGACGTGCACCTTCTTGTACATGGTCCAGCTAACAGTGCCAGACTTCACTCTGCGACCTCTCTTTCTAAACAGTACATCAACGGTCCCTTTAAACACTTTCTCTTTATCACAACTTTAGTTATTTTTTGATCAACTCCTGCTTTTATAGTAGCTTCAGCAAGAACTCGTAGGTGGCGTTGATGATCCCCCAGGAGATGAGTGACCGATGGTAGTTGAGATGGGCCCCTCTGAAAAGCTTGGCCACGCTGCCACCCCTCTCTCTCCACACTGTTAACAACACTATCCTGCACGGCTGAAAGGCTCCGCCCACCTGAGACTGAGCTCGGGATTTCACCACGTTTAGCGGGTAAAACAGAATGCCGAGACCTGCCCCCAACACTCCCCCACACACAAAATCATTAACCAAGTGACCCGGCTTGTTGGTAGCCTCTGGCAGCATCTCTTTAATCGGCCCCCGTAGCCCAAAGAAGAGTATGTTGCTAGGGCCGTTACGCAGGAGGATGGGGACGAGGCCACGGTAACACTCTGTGACGCCGTACTCTGTTAGAAGTGTCCGGAAAGTGTGGACTGTGTTGTTGAAGCGCCCGTGGTGCCGGTGGTCTTGGAGGAGCGTCTGCACGCGCTCAAACGGTGTGAGGATAGCTTCTGCAGTTCCTGCCAAAGCTGCGGCAAAGCTTCTCGTGACGAGTACTGGCACTCCGCTGCCCCCTGCACGGTCAAGTAACACTCTAGAGAAGTCCTCGTAAAGGCCAAACATGATGGCCACGGTAGAGCTCTTCTGAAGAAGTGGGGGGAGTAGGCCCCGATAAAGATTCCTCAGCCCATCCCTTTGGAGCTGTTGCACCGCCTCAGTGACCAGCACGCCATGCAGCTGCTGTCGGAAGAGCACCTTCTGAATGGGGAAGGTGATCACGATATTAGTGAAAGCTGCGATGGAACCACAGACATAGTGTTTCCCTTGAGGACCCAACTTGGTACTCAGAATCCCAGCAGGCAGCAGGGAAGGGCGTCCTTTTGTCAGGGCATCTTGGGGTTGAGGTGTCCGGGCTGACTCGGAGTCCATGGTGCTGACAGCCATGGGAGGCTCAGTGCACGGTCTGATCCTCCAACATAATAAACGTTCTGCGAACGGCTGTAAAACAGAATTTAGAAAGATATTACGTGTTTACAGCTTTTTTTTTTTTTTTTATACATAAAAACTGTAAAACAATTACAATTAAAAGGTTTTGCTAAATTAGAAATGGTTACAATGGAAATATACTGACCTTTTAATTTTTTTAATAAAAAAAAAAACAGGAAGAAAAAATATAAAATAGCTCAATTTTGGACAGTAATATAAACTAGAAAATTTCTGAACATTTTTGAAGGTTGCCATTATGCATACTTAGATTAATTTAAGATAAGGAAAAATACATGAATGTTGATGTATAAATTAAATAAAACCTGCAACAAAAACCCAAGATCATTCAAAATACATGCTAAAGATGCTGCCAGATACTCATTGGTAACCACGGTAACCATATACCTGTGTCTCTCATTCCCTGGCACCAAATTTAAGAGGCAGACAAAATCAGACTAATTAAGCCTCTGTTTTTCAAAGCTGTGCAACGAGACACAGGACTATTTAAAAAAAAAGAAAAGAATCAAAAGCGATTCAGTGCATATGCACTAGCACCATTATCTGTCCAAAGAACGTACAAAAACCCTAACAAATAACACTTGAATACAATTCATTACAAATCTTGTGATTTATTAAACTGACATTACTCTTTGCATAGCTTATAGTGTAACATGTAATTATTGTACATCCTAAATGAGTTAGTATCTGCCAACATTTGATAAGAAACTCTGTCTAAAGCAGATTGAACTGTTACAACCACCTGTCCTAAACTTAAACAAACACGCAGCTTCATCTGTCAGCTGATAAGAGTTGCACAACAGCCTGATAAGTGGCGGCCTTAGTCGTGGATAGACAGTCCAACTACTAAGACACATACGGTTACACAAAAGTACACTGTACGTGCATCCAGAACCCTGTAAATGACATGATTATTACCTTTCAAATCCACTCTATTACTGGTAGTATGAAAGAAGCTAGTCCTTCATTTTATTTTAAAAAGGACAATAAAAGGAGACACCAGCGGCAATAAAAACAAACCCCAAACTTAAGTTAAAAGTAACCCATTAAATATTGTAAGCGAGTAAGCTGCGTAAGAACATACTTGGTTATTTTGCCTGCATCATGTTTGTGGCAAAGCTAGAATACCGTAGCAAAACAAAAACTTTACACACAGCTTCAGGCCAGTATGACAAACCAGACTGACACGTGTCTATAGATACCAGAAAACCTATGATATATTTTTAGTGTAATACAATAAGTCACATGGCTTTTCAAATTCTCCTGGGTTTGTTATATATATATATATATATATATTATATTATATGACACAGAATTTCCAGTTATTGTTGAAAGTTTATGCATGTAAATTGGAATTTTTGCAAAGCATAAACTTCATTACACACTATATCTGAAAGGTTTTCTGTAGATTTTAATGTTTTATACATGAATACAGGCCACCTGCTTACACAGCACTAAATTAAATAGTCCTATCACTAATTGCTTATTACTTTGGATAGTAAACTTTCTCTAGTTCTTTACTTTTTGATGTCACAGTGACAAGCAGTGAAGTACTTCCCTCTCACTCACACACACACACACACAACAAAATGCTATCAGCAGATTTGAAAAGAAGAAAACAACTCAAATCTTGGGATTAACACGCCCTGTAAGTGCTGCTTCCTCAACTTTAAACTCAACTTGTCGATTTGTTCGTGTTTGTGCAAAAGACAGTAAACATTAGGCGATCTCATAGTGAGACGTGAGATTAATTCCCACCAGAACAACTAAAAAGTTCAAGAAATGTGAAAATAAAAAGGCAAACAAGAAAAAAACAAGACTAATGCTAAGCTCAGCCACACACAGAATGTTTTTAGCTCGGTGCTGCAAGTAATGTACTTAGAAGCAGTGATTTTAGTTAATTTAAGTCATATGTAAGGACTATTTTTTGTTTAATCTTCATTAAGCGTCAGCAAAGAACTGCCTAGCATGCTAAGTTAGCTAGCTTGCTCAGAATCAGAGCGTTAGGGGCTGATTGACTACAACTAAATTTAAAGACACAAAAGAGCCGTTCGCAATTTTGGTCACGCAAGTGTTAAGCTTATAAACGAGGCTTTACCTGCAGGGTACACAAGTCTGTTGCTGTCCTGTTTCTGGACAGATAAAGTGTTGTTTTTTGCAGGATATTTTGGGCCAATGCTGTAGGTCGTGTCTGGAGCTCCACCATCAAACAGCAACAGTAGGTGACAGCGCTGCGTCGTCTGCGCATGTGCACTGTTGCAGTTCTGAAATATATGGATAAAGCTGCTAATATCAGATATATTTCACATTTACATATTTAGTATACAGTATTGAACGACATGCATAGTGGATACTATAACTGAGCTATATCATAGATGGATTTGGCTCACACACACATGCAAAGGTTTTCTAGTTTGAAAGCTACCGTTGAACATTTGTCGTAAAGCAGGAAGTGACGTAATGTCGTAACGTTAGAACCTTACGCTCTGGTAAATAAAAGCTAAGCTAGTTTTTGCCGAATGCTCAGGGGTATTTTTAATTTTATGTAGCTATATATAGCTAATATAATATTGAAATTTGATATTTATGTAATATAATTGAATAATAGTGTGCTGTAAGCTAAATGGTTCTCCCAAAGATGTAAAAGGAAATGTTGATAACTAAAAGCTAGCTGCTATCAAAATACTTGCGGAGAACAATTTTTTTTTTTAATTTATCTTCTGATGTTTTCGCATGTAAAAGAGCTACATGTTTCACAGTGTTCTGGCCTATTTTCACGTATGGTAGTTTTCTCATCTACCAAATTTAATTAATGTGAAATGTCAGCGCAAAAAGACTGCGAGTTTTTGGTCAAAAGAGCCCGAGAGTTGGTCTCTGAAGACACATGTGCGGCCAAAGCCTGGCTCATAACAGCTAGAACTCTTTACCCATCAGATTTCAGCATACAGGTAATACAAGTTAGCTGTCTAAACTGCGTTTAGATTGAATTGCAGCTTTGTAATGAACATCTTGAAACTTTTCACAGTATGAAATGTACATCATTGAACGCAATGCAGAGAAGACAGCTTCTGCAGGGAGGCTGCTGTATGACATGTGAGTTACAACATTGTGTGTGTTTTCATGTTATGTCTCCATGTGTTGATGCTGTGCTTACATGCCAATAATCTGTCAACTCTTTAGGTTTATAAACTTTCCAGATCAGCCCGTTGTTTGGCGTGAGATAAGTGTGATCACAAATGCTCTGCGCAGTGACTCTCAGGATAAACATGCACAGTTTCTAAGAGGTAAGTGGAGTTATGTGCACACTTGCGTTAATGCACATCGCAACAACTCTGCCGTATGAGACATGTTTTGGAAATTTAAATTGCATCTTATTGTTTTCATGCAGGACTTTTTGAGACATTGCCTGGTCGTGTGCAATGTGAAATGCTATTGAAAGCCACAGAGCAGTGTTTTAACACTTTGGAGAAAGCAGAGATGCTGTTGCTCCTTTTGAAGCGCTTTCCAGAGTCTGTGGTTCAACATGGGGTGCGTAGTAATACATTAACTCTGGTGTTTTTGAGCTGTGACTCCAGTATAACACGTTGAAGTGTAACAATCTGCTACATTGTTAGGTTAATTTAGGAGAGACGCTGTTGGAGGCAGAGGCATCAGAGAATGCGGAAACACCTGTCAACTGCTTCAGAAAACTTTTTGGTCAGTGTTGATATAATTAACGTTAAGTTAAATTATTAAAAATAAACAGTTAATATGTATATTTTTTTGTATTTTATGCAGTGTGTGATGTTCTTCCTTTGGTTATAAACAACATGGACATGCGTCTGCCAACAAGCCTAATGCAGAAATATATCCTAAAAGCTGCTGAGTTCTACATTGGTTATGTTACTCGTGGACCATCACCTGATGTGCAGTTACAAGGTACAATGACACTACTAAATATTCATGTTACTGATTTCCAACTGTCTAACTCAGTTTGATCACTTCAAGAGTTCCACTCTTTGGATGTTTTAATTTTAATTTTATATTCAGTTCTCTGATTTTACCTGAATGTTTTTTAGGAACTCAAGACAGCGGGACTTTAAAATCACCTGGCATTTCTCGTGGCTCACAGAGATATCTGATAGATGGCTTGTCAGAAAAATCCTCATTGGTAGCAGAACCTTGGGAAAGGCTTCTTGATATTGTTTCTGTGGTTGGTGCACGCTGCGAGTGGCAGGGAGACAAAGGGCAAAGGTAAACTCTCACTTTGCCTGTCACAGTTACCTCTTTTCTAAGTGTTAGTGCTCAGAGACAATTCTGAGAATATACACTAAGCAGGTAGTTTACTGAGTGAACGTAGTGTAGCCATAAACAGTGCAACCGGATTTGGTATTTCTTTACAGTCTTTCACAAATTATGGTAGTTAAGTGTTATTGTAGTTTTTAGACAATAACCTTTGTAAATGAGCTTGTTTTGTGTTTATATGTTCTATAGGAGTTATGTGGACATGTTGCAGAGAGTGAAGGAGCTGTGCCGGTATCTTCCCAGTCTGGAAGGAGAGACAAGGTCACGCTGCTGCAGTCAGGTGGTCATTTGCGCAGCACTCGTGCTGTTCCGCAGCGCCTTCCTCTATGTCTCAGCTGTACAACCTGCACTGTTCCAGGGTCAGTTTCTGTCTATGCACACGCAGTTGACAATTTGTTCATGTATTCCTAATGCTACTGGTTTTTGAGCTCTGTCATTTTTAAGCCTCTGTTTCTGTTTGCAGGAGTTGGTGCAGTGATTTCAGGGCCGTGGATCTTGGTGGAGGATTTGAGTTCAGTGTTCAGTGATGTGGAGATAGATCGAGGAACTCTAAAACACACGCATAAGAAACGCAAACTGACTGATGGAAGAGACAAAACGATGGTACAGACAGATTTAAAAACAGTTTGGTTTTAATTACAGTTTTTCAGAAACTCCAAAAATGACTAAAATTTAAAAAAAAATACTGCACATGTACTTTAAATGCACACATGACCACAGTGTGTATTTTTCTGTATTGTGTGCATTTTGTAGAGCTCAGATGATGATGAGGGTTTAGGGAAAGGCCGAGGCCGACACATTTTTGTCAACAAGATTGAGATGCCCAGCTGGTCTGAGACTCTGGAGAGTTTCCGCACAGCAAGAGAAAGTTGGGACCTCCTTCACACCCATGATAATCTGGAAGTTGGTAAGCACCACTGATGTTCGTGTTTTGTGTGATCATCTCGAGAGACTATCCACATTATCATAAATGATCTATCCCATCTAGAAAAGGTGTAGGTAGTTATTTCATTTTCATTAGAGTTTAAAGTATTATAAATACAACATAGAATCCTATTTATTCCTTTAAATTAACTTATCTTTTTGATTTTTTTCAGAGTTTAAAAAAATTTGTGCTGCATGGAAGACAGACAACTGGCTGTGGTTCAGAATATTCCTCACGGACATGATTATTTACCAGGTAGGGGGGTCACAGTTTGTTTTTTGTGTGTTTGGCGCTTATGACGTTTTTAACCGTGCTTTCTGTGATAATAAAGTATCTGCTCGAACAGGTTTGTTTTCATTCTCACAATTTTATTTCAGTAGTAATTTTACAATGAGGACTGCTCTAAAATGACCTATGTTGAGAGTTATTACAATATTAAAAATGTTATTACAAAATTAAAAAGCAATTCTCAGTAGTCGCATATGCTGCACTGAGTTTTGCTTTAATGTTTTAAATGAAAATTTAGGGGAGGAAATACAGCAAAGAATAGGATTTAGAAAGACGTTCATTTTAAGATGGGAACAAAAAGTAAATAAAACTTGGTGCTTGCTTTGTACATTTTTATATATTTTTCTACATATCTGCCTTATAAATACTGACTGTTTACATTTCTTGTCATCTCCAGGGTCAGTATCGTAAGGCCATCTCCAGCCTGCATCAGATGGCTGCAGTACAACAGCCTCAGCCTGGCCAGCAGAGTCCCTCTGGTCAGGCCAGTCTGGAGCACCACAGGGCCCTCATACAGCAGGCATCCTGCCACTACGCACTGGGAGAGTACAGGGTAAACATATGCACACCACCTTGCTTATACAGTATTTATATTTTGAGTGCAGACCAAGCAAACAGTGCATTAGACTATACTTCTGTACTTTAATCATTCATATTTAAGGTTTAGTTGGTTGTTTTCAGCTGTTCTTAAAAGACACAAGCATACTTGTGATATTTTAACAATATGTGAAGTGACTATTTGACCATGAAAACCAGAAAATAAATAAAAATTATCTAACTGAAGGCAAAAATAACTCAATCACTTGATGCACCATGGGTTTGAGGTTTATGCAGTACAAAGGAAGGGTCCAAAAAACTGCAGTTTTATAGTAGGTTTATTCTAAGTTGGCAGACAGACAATGTGCTACATATCACAGGATCCCTTCCTGCCTCTCCTGCTCTAGCTCCTGCATGACTGCTCGCCTCGTCGCACCACCTCCAACTGGTAAAAAAAAAAACATGACCACCCACGCACCTCGAAATCTCCCTAAAGTTTACGTATTTATACCTCATACTCACATTCCAAACAAAAATAAAAAAATACAGTAGTCCCTCAATTATTGTGGGGGTTATGTCTCCCCCCCCCCCCGCAATAGATGAAAAAACATGAAATAGGAACGCTATATTTATTTTAGATTATATATATATATATATATATATATATATATATATATATATTAAGGCTTTATAAACCCTACCCACACTCTTGCAGTGTTGTAAACTCTTAAACCTATGTAGTTTTAACAACATACAGTACATACATGTACTGTACAGTACTGTAAAATTGTACTCACCAGCTTTGCAGACCTTTGCTCTGTTCCAGTTATGCAGACCTACCCAGCTGCGACAAAGCCCACCATCCCGTCCAGGTTGATGTGCATGTGGTTAACTGAGCTTCAGGAAGTTTCAGGATTATTTGCAACTTTCTTGCCAGTTCTTAATAGATAGTGTAGATTTGTGTTGCAAAACAATCCCTCCATTTCAGCAGAAAGCAGTGGCCAGAAGCACTGTTGGCTTCTGGGTAGTGTAGTTCTTTTGACTGGCATTACACTGTAGGCTTATTGAAAGAAAACTACAAAATGGCGGCGCCTGTCCAAAGTTTTTTTCGTAATTTTTTTTATCCCATACCGTCCCAATCACTTGAGTAATATTAAAGTTGACAATCGTTGAAAAACTGCAAAAGAGCAACTCCACTAAAATCAAACTGCAAAGTAGCAAGGGACTATTGTATATAAACTTATAAAATTACTAACCCACAAATTTATTCTAAACAATTTTAATTAAACAAAAAAAACGAATTTAAAAATCAAACCAAACCAATCAAACTAAATTCAAAGACTTAACAAAAAAAATGAACAAATAGCTCCTACAATATGTTTATTATCCCCCAAAAGTCAATGAAGGAACCTTTGGGGTTTTTTAGCAACCAAAAGGATGCACTGTATCAATTGTGCTGAAGGTGGCAGTGTTGTTCACACATGGTTGGTTAGAATCAGTAGGTTAAACAGTCTATGAAGAGCATGCAGTTCTTTGCTTATGTGTTTAGGTATAAATCGTCTATTTTTTTCCCTGAAGAGTCCTTGTCAAAGCTTAAAAATGGTTCGTCTTAACAAAAAGATATTAATGCATCACAAAAATACAACCAGCGAATTTTATTGAACTTTAATGTATCTCTTCCATGCATGTATGTTCTGGGTTGAACTGTTATAAACAGATGGCCTGCGAGAAGCTGCTTGATGTTGCCAGTGGACTTGTTCCTCCAACACAAGAGCCTGTCAAGTCCACAGAAGATCAGAGCAGAGTGAAAACCAAAACTAGGAAAGGTAGCTTCACCTGTTGCATCCGTTTTTTTTTTACTCACGTTGTCTTTATCATAGATGTTTTGATTTGTTTGTATCAATTCAGTAATTCAGAAACATCGTACGAGTGTAGTTTGCGTTATTATGACTATAAAATTGTTATTTTTACATACAGGATATATACCATAAAAGTTTTATAGTGTTAGATAAATAATGGAAAGATTTTTTTTTTTTGTCTGAACCAGGTAATGACCTACGATTACTCCCCTGCACCAGCAAAGCTGTATTACCTTTCTGTCTCCAGCTGATGCTTGCTTCCTTCAAGGTACTTCTAGCAAGTCAAATTTGTGGAGTTCATCAAAGTTCCCGAGCTGCATCTTTGTCAGCAAACTTTTGGAGTATTTTTTTATTTATTTTTTTTGTTTATGTTCACTTGGTGTATTCAGCTCCGAGCCTTCACAGACAGTCGGGACGACCTGTCTCTCGGCCATGTGGTGGTGCTCCTGCAGTATGACTGGCCACAGGGCGAGATGCTGTTTTTGAAGGCGGTGGATAAAATCTGTCAGCAAGGCAGTTTCCAATATGAGAACTTCTTCAACTATGTCACCAGTATCCTTTTCTGTAACCAGTCAGACAAACATGACACAGTGGAAACTGATAAGGTCATGTTTACAGGCACTAATGATAAACTTGACTGTGTTGTCATGTCCAGGAGGTTAGTTTCCATGAGCTCATAAGTCTACTCAGATATTGACATGCTGGAGGAGTTTGCTTACCTGCGTACTCCAGAAGGGGGCAGAATTCAGCTGGAGCTGCTGCCCAATCAGGGAATGCTGATAAAGTAAGCAAACCACCATTTAAACTTTCTCACTTGGCATGCTAACTGCACTTTCCCCTTTTTGTTTTTGTGTTTTTTAAGCAAACACTGCTATTTATTGATGATCTCCGTAGACTTGGCGGGTGGGGAAAATTTTGCTCATACATGCATAAACTGTAAACGGAGCGGGCCTTGTAAAGGCGAGGGGCGTTTGGTCAAATATATAACGGTGTTGTTGTAGCAGTTAGGACTCCTGAATGAAACACTGACAGAGTTGTTAAATGTTGCTATCCCTCAGGAACCCTAGCCCCGCCCTGGGGGTGGAGTTAAACACCCTTCTGCTACAAGGGGTGCAGACAATGGACAGGTACCCCAGGCCCCTCCTCCCACAGTCCCCATCTCCTCCCTCCCTCACACCAGTCACCTGTCCTTCATTCCCAGCTTCAAGGCTTGTCATCCCCCCCAAGTTTTAATTTGGGCCTGTCATTTTACATCAAGAGTCAGTTGTCCTTTGATTTCCTGTTAGCATTTGTTTTTGAGTCATTGCTCCTTTTTTCTGTGGCCATCACTGTCGTTCTACAAGGCTGATGTTGGTGTTGTTGTACAGTCAATTTAGCTTTTGCCGTTTCATGATACTTGATCTCATTTCATTTGTGGATATGTTTCATATGATTTTTGCTTAATTAAGTTTAATATGTTTAAACTAAATTGGCTGATTTATGTGTGGAAGGCAAAAGTAATGTGCTGCTACCGTGACTTTAGTAGGTCAGATAGATCATGGTAATGTTTATATTAAAAAGAAACAAAATCTTCCTTTTGCAGACACCACACAGTGACTCGAGGGATCACCAAAGGAGTGAAGGAAGATTTCCGTCTGGCCATGGAGAGACAGGTGTCTCGCTGTGGGGAAAACTTGCTCATTGTGCTCCACCGTTTCTGCATTAACGAGAAAATCATCATCATCCAGTCCCTTCCTTGACATCTGACTTGGAGATAATTATTGTACAGTTTTAATCAAGTTGGACTAAGTTTTTTTTACTCCATCCCCAAAAAATGAACACATTTTGAGTTTTTTTTTTTTCTTTATTGTCTGTCATTAACTCCTTATAGAAGACAAGCCCAAGCCTTTTGCCTTAAAAGTGTTCGGGATGACACTGGATATATTGTACTTCTGTTTTCAACGTACAGCTTGTCTTCTTTTTCCTTACAGAACAATGTTTGAGTGTTAACTTACAGTAATGTGCTTAATTCCAATGTTTCATGTTGTTTGTGAGTTGCTAATGTCAGAAGAATCAAATGCATTTTGTATATATTTTTGGTCAAGTTGATTGTTTTTTGCTACAATTCAATTGATACTTTATATGTTTCCATTAAATGTCACTTGAATGGTTAAATTGTTATTTAATCTGTATATTATGAAAGCATATAAAATCCTAACCTGCTCATAAAAACACGATTAGAAATTAGCTGTTGTAGCTTAAAGCAGAGTTAAAGAAGCAGAACATTTTTTTTTTAGTTTCCAGAGAAACAAATGGATTTAAAGGGACAGTCTGGTCATTTCTGTAGTTTTTTCTGTTTGTTTAGTTTGTTGTCAATTTCTCAACTACCGGTAAACAATATTCAAATTACTACCCGCTTCAGCACGTCTAGTTTAGAGAGACATGACAAAGTATAACGCAAAGTATTCATGCAGTAACACAGACTTTGGTTGAGAAAACAGTGACTCAACAAACTCATGCAAATGTTTTGAATCAGCTTTTCCCTCTTCAGGGGTCGCCACATCATCCTCCATCTCACTCTGTCCTCCGCGTCCTTTGTCCTCACTCCAACTACCTCCACGTCCTCTCTTAACTAATCATATCTCTTTGGCCTTTGATTTTTTTTGTGTCAGGCAAAAATGTAGAGGTTTAATATTGGCTAATGTAGCATTCTTTTACACGATTATGTTTTTGAGTGAGTTGTTCCAAGCCTGGAAAATGATAGAAACAGCCTTATTTAACTAGCTAGCCTAGCCTGGATGAAAACATTTGCCATTTTCTTCATGCTCTATGTCTGATGTTTCCAATTCTGAATTATTTGACTGTAATTTCAAAGATTAATAGACTATAATACTGCTTCATAATCATGTTCCTCCTCCAAGGAAAGGGTCAAGCTTTGTAGTTTTACTCCAACAACGTTCTTAAAATCACCTACAAGGATGCTTTTTGCTCCAAGTGTCAGATTCTTCAGTTTTACCAGAAAAGTGAACTCCATACCCAGCGTCATGTTCAGAAACTTGTTCCAGGCTAGGTTTAGCACCACAAGGTTTCCTGTGTAGCACTGTTATTCAGCGTATAGTGTGACAGATCCAGATGTTTCAAATGAGGCGTGTCCACAAACGTCTCTGCATCGATCAGCTCCAAACCGTTCCACGACACATTTAAGAGACTTAGGAGGGTGACGTTTCTAAAGTCTCCTTTGTGGAGCTGGTGTATGTGGTTGCATGAAAGGTCGAGATATTCGGCTGTTTGTGGCAGGTCTGTTGGGACAGACGAAAGGTTCATGGATGAACGGTCTACAAAGATGAAGCGGACATCTGTAGGCCCGCCAAACCAGCCATTGTCCAGAAGATGACAGACGAAAGCATCATTGTTTTACTGGATACAGAAAAGAAGTATAGTATGTACAGATAAATTTAACTTTTAACAGAAACTTCCAACAAACCGTAATAAAATCTAACGTTGCTATAGAGGTGTTGACTTAATATATGGTAAATGTTCTATCCATGCAATCACAAATTGGAGTTGACATGAACCAACTCTTCCTTCAAACTTTTTAAACTTGTTAGTTTCTGTGTGACAACTATCTATTCATCCGTCTTTACCCACTTCTTCCTTTCTGGGTCACAGCTGCTACAAAACTGAAATGTTGAAATGGTTCAAATGACCAGCACAAAAATATAACTTTAACAAGATTTTAGTTCCAAAGACTGAGAGTGCACTAACCTGACATGAGGCAAGAAGTTTGTTTTGATTTTCAGCAGAAGTTTTATATTTTATATTTTTCTCTATTAAACTTTATAGTGGCGGCTTGGTGGCTCAGTTGGTAGAGCTGTTGCCTCTCAGCAGGCTCAAATCCCGGCCCAGGATCTTTCTGGGTGGAGTTTGCATGTTCTCTCTGTGCATGCGTGGGTTTTCTCCAGATACTTTGGTTTCCTTCCACAGACCAAAAACATGCATGTTAGGCTGATTGGTAACTCTAAATTGTCCCTAGTTGAGAGAGAGAGAGAGAATTATTATTTGTCTCTGTGTCCCTGTGATGGACTGGAGAACTGTCCAGGGTGTCCCCCACCTCTATCACAGTGATGGCTGGATATGGGCACCAGTGACCTCCGTGACCCGAAAAGGAAGAAGCGGGTGATGGCTGGATAAATTTTAAAAATAACTCAAAAAAATAAAAGCTTGAATTCAACTAAAGAGGGAAAATAGTACTTGTGAAAAACTGTTAAAAAGTAATTAATATAAAAATGTTTAGCACTAAAAACACATGTTAAAAGACAAACTGCAGCTGTCTGTGGAAGGACCTGCTGCTCTTTTGTTAATCTGTTGCAAAGTTGAGAGAAAACAGGCTGAAATGAAACAACTTACAGGATTTATTTGTGTTTAAATCCTCTTTTCACTTCCCTTTTATTTATCAAACAGATTTCCTTTTTGAAGAAAAAAGGGAATTTCTTGACAAAGGGGGAAATTTCAATTCAGTTTATTTATATAGTACCAAGTCACAACAGAAGGCATATCAGGGCACTGAACAGAAACATGCATATACAATATATATATATATATATATATATATATATATATATAATTACGTCAGTGCCGACAGGTGGATATGGTGGGGGGCACGAAGTTCGGTAGATGGGGCACTGGGTTCTCTGTTGATGGGGTGGGGCTTCCCGCTTGTATAATCGTAGGGGAAACACTGGCTCTCAGCTATAACCACACCAAATTTCAGCTTAATGTGTAAAAATAGCTGAGTTAACACCATTTAAATTTAGCTTTGGTGGCCATCTTAATTTTTTTTTAAATTCATTATTTATTGGACATTGCTCTCAGCTACTACCATACCAAATTCCAGCTTAATATATAATAATGTGCATGTATTGTCATCATTGTATGTTCCCATACAATGGTGAAACTGGCTCTCTGCATTTTACCCATCCACCACCAGGTGGCATAGTGGGCCGCTATTGAAAGCGCCTGGGGAGCAACTGGGGATAAGATGTCTTGCTCAGAGACACCACGAGATGTGCAATGACCGGGGATCAAACCTAGGACCTTCGGGTCCCATGTTGGCTTCCATGCCCCTACACCAATATCTCTAAAAATGGCTTATTTACAGTATTTTTCCTTTTTAGCTCAGGTGGCCATCTTGGACATTTGATTTGCAACAAGAGTCTATGAAAAATTACTAATAAAAGTTGCATCTTTGCAAATTACATCACTATGGTAACTCAAAATGCCATTAAAAGTAATAGCACACATCACGGCACTGAGCCAGTCATTTTGATATAAAATTTGTGGGGGCACACATTGTGGTTCAGGTTGCATTAAAGTTGACGGAAGAGTAAGATACAAAGTTAAGAAACCCTTGTCAGGTGGATAATAATAGGTGACTACCTTAGTCCCCAATTAGTCACTGTATCTTAAAGATGCAATAAGGTAAATATTAGAAAAAGAAATCTAAACATTCTGATTAGTCTCCAGAACATGGGGAGTGGTGGCGCAGAGGTTAGAGAAGGTGGGCCTGCGATCGAAAGATCGCCGGGTCACGCCCCAGTACCGACAACATCAAAAATGTGGGTGGGGTAGGTGAAACACCCACATTTGCCCCCACCCTCATTCGCACCACCTTGAGCCCATGAGCAAGGTCCTTAACCCCCATCTGCTCCCTAAACAGGTCTCTCTTGAAAATGAGTTCTTGTGGCTCAATGAGACTACCTGTATAAATAAAGAGTAAATGAAAACATACAATGTTTAAGTTTCTGGTTTCCTTTTATAAAATGCCTTTAATGTCTGTTTTACATTTCCTTTCATGTGGAAGTCAGTCACTCAGATAACTCTGAGACTAGTTCATTTGGCAGGTCAGCCTGTAGGGCAGCTCTGAGGTTAGCCCAGAACAGCCTGTGTTTAGCTCTGTCCTGAGGCCATTCCAGATAAGTGTGGCGGTTCATCATGGCCTTGAGCTGGTAGTACTTGGATGGGATCAGGTATTGGGGCAGAGGCTCAAGCAACACCAGGACAATGTTGTCCGAGTCCAGAGACAGTCGTTGGTGGCTGGCAAAGTACAGCTCATAATGGCACCATTCACTTTTAATGAAATGAGCGGAGAGCACAAATACAGAGCAGCGACTTTTCTCCACACAGTTGATGATGTTCTCAACGATTGATTTTCCTGGCACAAAGTTTTTCTCATGGTGGCAGATTCTGAGCCCTCCTGCAGGACCTTCAAGGTTAGGAATGAGGCAGTTCTTCACCCAGTCTCCATCATGCTGGCTGTAGGACACAAAAGCATGATACTCGACACTCATCAGATCTTCTGGTCGAACTTGTCGCATTCTCGCCCTATGTTTGGCTCTGGTCCACTGCCAGATCATGCCCATGTACCAGGGAACGTCAAGATGTTGGCACAGAAAGAAAACTGTGATGATCAACACCACTACAGGGACCAATATGGTGACTGCTAGGAGGCTAGTGTTGCAGGAGATCTCAGAGATCCAGAAGCCTTTCAACATGGAGTCTCTAAGTGTCTCTGGATAGAAGCAGTAGTAGCCATGTGGCCAACTCAACAGTTTAATACCCATGTGACCGCTTTTATTTTCAGCCTTAATGCCAAAGCTAATGAAATCCCTCAGAGCACAGGTACAGGCGAACGGGTTGAGACTAGCATCCAGGGTTTTTAGATTGGAGCAGCTTTCCAACTTGCTACGTGAGGGGGCATGGAGGGAGTTTGACTTCAGAAGAATCTCTGTCAGCACGGGAAAGTTATCGCATGATGGCAGATCTCGTAGCCTATTAGCATTTAGATTCAAGGAAACAAGGTTTTTGAGTTGATAGATGATTGGCGGCACCACAGAAATCTGGTTGTTCTGCAGGTCCAGTATTTCTACACCATTTGGTAGACAATTAAAGATGGAGTCTGTCAAGCCTCCAGAGGAAATGTTCATAACCCTGATATTTGGTGGCCACAAACACTCAGACACACCATCATAAAGCAGAGAGTTGACACTAAGGTCCAGCTGTTGCAGTGAAACCATGTATTTTAGACGCTTACTCAGTAACTGAAGGTTCTTCAGATTGTTACTTAGGAGAGACAACGTTGTTAAGTTGCTCAGAGTCTCACATTCTATGGTTTTCTGACCTTCCAGTCTGGAAAAAATGGAATCGTACAGAGCGCAGTAGGAGAAATCAAGCTCGAGGATAGGACTCTGTTTCTTTGGGCAAGTCATGTGTATGATTGAAGTCTCTGCTACTGTTAGATACTTTACTGGCATGTTGATAAAAAAATTGTACACGGCTTCCTGAGAAAAGAAGAAAGACTTTACCACTCCTTGCCTGACAGTGAAGGACTTCATGGTAGATGTCTCGGTCACTTTGGTGTCAAAAATGGGTGGTTCTGTAATAGCGAACTCATCGGTGCTCATATGGGAAATAGAGGTACGCAGAACGGCATTGACACATTCAGTCAAGTCTTTCCAAATAATCTGTATGCTGTTGAGAGAAAGACGAGTCGTGCGGATTTCTGCAACCTCACTAAGCTGCTTTGTTAAATTTTTGTAGCCTCCTGTCAAATTCTTAAGCTCTACATCAACAAAGAGAGACAAGGCATCAGCAATCAGATCACTGTGAATTATTTTTCCTTTACTGAAGTGGATATTAAGGCTTTGAGCATGGACGTCCATCAGGCTGCCTTCTTCATAATCATGTTCCTCCTCCAAGGAAAGGCTCAAGCTTTGTAGTTTTACTCCAACAACGTTCTTAAAATCACCTACAAGGATGCTTTTTGCTCCAAGTGTCAGATTCTTCAGTTTTACCAGAAAAGTGAACTCCATACCCAGCGTCATGTTCAGAAACTTGTTCCAGGCTAGGTTTAGCACCACAAGGTTTCCTGTGTGTAGCAGGTACCGTTGACCTGACAGGTTCTTCAGCGTATTGTGTGACAGATCCAGATGTTTCAAGTGTGGCGTGTCCACAAACGTCTCTGCATCGATCAGCTCCAAACCGTTCCAAGACACATTTAAGAGACTTAGGAGGGTGACGTTTCTAAAGTCTCCTTTGTGGAGCTGGTGTATGTGGTTGCATGAAAGGTCGAGATATTCGGCTGTTTGTGGCAGGTCTGTTGGGACAGACGAAAGGTTCATGGATGAACGGTCTACAATGCTGTCAGGAGATGAAGCAGACATCTGTAGGCCCGCCAAACCAGCCGTTGCCCAGAAGATGACAGACAAAAGCTTCATTGTTTTACTGGATAAAAAAAGAACATACAGATACATTTTACCCAAACAGAAAGATGTTAATTAAATAAATACATGAAAGGAAATCACATCTGGATGGGTTTGTTATAACTTTTAGTGGAGTAGAAATACTGCACGTAGCCTACCATCACTTATCCTTTCCAAAACTATCGTTACAAACATGAAACAAAAGAAACCTAATGATGTCATAAGTCAATAAAGGAAAGCTTTAGTTGTGTGAATGTTTATGAAGCATTAACACTATTGTGATCCATTTTTCTTCCAAACGTTTTTTGGCACAATTCTCATCCCACAGTTTCAAGCTTTTTCAACAAATTGTATATCAAAATGTTCAGTTCTTTCAGGACAATCCTGCTATGGCTTTTGGTATTGGTGCAAATTTAGCTTTTTGAAATATTTAGCCTTTTCCGCCTTTTTTTTTTTCATAAGAAATGAATTGAGCTCATTTTACATCCCTCACATCTTTAGATCTGTTTACAACCTTTTACTGCTCCTGTCACAGTTTGTTCTGGTGCAGCTTCTTCAGCTTCCTTGAGCAAATTTAAACTTTTTTTCAGCTAATTTCAGCTACATTCAGTTGCTTTTTCAGCTGTTTTGTGCTCTTTTCAGATTCTTTCTGCTAACTACAACATTTTTGTTCTTCTAACTTCTTTCTGTTAATTTCAGCTTGCTATGCTTCTTTCAGCTTCTTTCTGCTAGTTTCAGTTATTTCAGTGGATATTTAGCTGTTTTGTGTTAATTTTAGCCTTTTCAGCTAACTACATTTTTTCCCCTCATTTCAATTTTTTCAGCCTAATTCAGCAAAAATATACTCTCTCCACTTCCTTCTGGTAATTTAAGCTTCTTTCTGCTTTTTAAGCTACTTTTCAGCTGTTTTTTTTATTATTTATTGCTAATTTCAGCTTTTTTTCAGATAATTTCTACTTTTTGTGCTAATTTTGGCTTCCTTCAGCCTAATTGGGCAAACATGTTCTTTCTGCTTTCTTATGCTAATTTAATCCTATTCTAACTTTTCAGCTACAGTTTAAGTATTTTTTTTAGCTAATTTCAGATGTTTTCAGATAAATTCAAGTTTTTCATGGTTTCAAGTTTTTCTGCTACTTTCAGCCTAATTAACTTATTTCTGCTAATTTCAGCTTGTTATGCTCCTTTCAGCTTTTTCTACTATTTCAGCTACTATTTAGATCTTTTAGGCTAATTCTAGCTTTTTCAGCTACTTCCACATTTTTGAGCTCATCCGCTATCCACTTCCTTCCTTTTCAGCTATTTTTGCCAATTTCAGCTTTTTAAAAAACTAATTTCCAAAATGTTGTTCTCATTTCTGCTTATTTAAACCCATTTCAGCAAATAAGTGTTATTTCTGCTTTCTTCTGCTAATAGGCTTGTTTTTAATTTCAGCTACATTTCAGCATGTTTTGTTTTTAGCTAATTTCAGCTGTTTTTCCATCAACGACTACAGCAATAAGCATTCACACTGCATTTTGCAGGAAATGCACTTGATCTAGTTTTAGTTATTATTCACAACACTGAGTCAGTTTAATGCCTTTTATTTCATATAAGTACAACAGTTTGACTTGCAGCATTTTGCTATGTGGTAACAGGGTATTTTCAAATCAGCAAAGTTTTAATACACTTGTATTAATATCTACTGCCTTACTATTGTTTTCACAGTCTCAAGTGGGATTCTATTTCTTGTAAATGTTTTATCTCATTCACTTCTATTAATGAGAACTAGCACAATTTAAATATTGAAATAGTTCACATGAGTAACACGTGTATTACTTTAACAAAACTTTAAATCCAAAGACAGAGAAAAAGGGTGCACTAACCTGAAGTGAAGTCAAATATATTTCTAGTTGAAGTTTCACCTTTCCATTTGATATGGAACGCACTTTGTTCCAAATGGTTGGATTCAGCTACAATGAAGAAAAAACCCAAGTATGAAAACAGATCTGCTTCTGATGCTCATCTGTAAATCTGTTGCAGTAAGTGGCAAAAATTAGAAAAAAAGACAAGTGAAATCTACCACTTGTATTTATGTTTAGTGTTCACTTCCTCTTTTTACTTCCTCTTAAGTCACTGAGTTTATCCCATTGCATGCTTAATAAACAGTACTAAATTTAAAAAAAAATGTTGGGTATATTTTATTGGTCTTAAGATGACTTTTAGCTCATTATTTTATTTATCAACCAGTGATTCTCAGATAATGTATAAACCGGTACTTGATTGATTACTGATTGAGATTAAAAGGTTTGGTTCTACATAAAAATGCATTTTGCATCACAAGTTGTGTGAAACATCACTGCATATTTTCTGGACGGTGGCTAATGTTGTATTGTGACATCCAAGTATTTTTCTTTGTCATTTCTCTTATCTCTGTAATGCCTTGAGGCGTAGTGAGTGACTGTTGTTTACCTTAGACTGCCATACAAACTGCTTTATTGAAGGAGAATAATTTTTTTATGAGTTTTAACTGTGATAGATAATCAAACACAGATAGATGGACTGTGACACACACACTTCCCATCATTGTTTTTAGCCTAGCCTTGGGTCACTGACTGGGACACAAAGAGTAATGGGAGCTAAATTTAATAAAGCCATATAACCTGGTGATTTTGTTCTCACCTACCAATGTTTGATCGGATTTGGGGAGAACACTGCAAATGTTGTTACCACCCTCCCAACATAAAAACAAAAATCAAGAGACAAAAAGCTTGTTGTTTATTTGCTGTCATCTAATGTGCAAAAATAGTTTTTTGTCCACTGCAAAAGATAAAGGTAGAAGGAACAACGTTTTTATCCTTGTCTGTGTTTGTTAGTGCCATTAGCAAAATGTCTCATTTATGCCTGCCCTGGATAGATTTTTTTTTAATGAACATTCAGATTACATTACTGGGTATACATCTACAATATGTTGCATAATATGTTCGACATATTGATACTTCATCTAGCTACATAACGGTCACTATTGGTGTGCCACAAGGCTCAGTTTTAGGACCCACTCTTTTTACAATTGATATAAATAATGTATGTCAAAACATTCCTGACCCGAAACTTGCATCTCTATGCCGATGATACTGTTGTTTATTGCCAAGCTAACACAGCTGCCAAGGTTTTCCAGCTTCTACAGTCTGAATTTGACATCATTCAGTCAGATTTATTCCATCTCAAACTGGTGAAATGTTTGGTGAATGCTGATAAAACTAAAGGGATGTTGTTTTCAAACAGAAAGTTGGTGCCAGCAGTTCTTCCTTCTATCTCATCCATGCATGGTGTTCTTATTGAGTTTGTAGATTCTTACAAATACTTGGGAATTATGGATGATGTACATCTCTCTTTTAAACCACATATTGAAAACTTGATAAAGAAACTGAAATTAAAACTGGGTTACTTTTTCAGAAATAGATCTTGCTTAACTCTGAATGCCAGAAAACGCCTTGTAGCCACTACTTTCCTACCGGCCATTGATCATGGTGACAATATGAACGCCCCTGCCAGCTGCTTGCAGATGTTGCTGTTTACCATGGCACGCTAAGACTCATAACTGGTTGTAACTACCATACCCATCACTACACTCTGAACTCATTGGTAGGTCTGTCACGATAACAAATTTTGCTGGGCGATTAATTGTCTCAGAAATGATTGCGATAAATGATAATATTGTTTGACATTTGACAGTAATTAGTAATTATTGTCAAATTTAAGAAGAAATGTTGGTTAAATTGTTTTGGATGTAATACTTTTTTCGACCACTGGATGGCAGTATAAAACTGTTTGAACCGAAGGATGGATAGTGAGGGAGCGAGCATGGGAGGGAGGCTTCTTGACGTGACATGGGCTTCGTCTCCTTCCTTTTTTGGTTCTCAAAATGGCAGACACTCTGTGTGGTGTGAGCTCTTTAGCATAGTATTTTTCACACAAAGCTTTTAATAAAAATTCAGTAAACAAGTTCTCAGTTTTTTTTCGCAGAGAAAAACAACTTTTTACACAAAGGCACGGGTTTCAACTGTGAATTTTGGAGCTTCGACAAGATGGAGGTTTTTTCCCCGAGGTCAGCCTGTTAGCTTAGCTCATAGCTTAGCAGATTTTAATAAACCAAAAACACAAATTTACAGTTAAAATGGATTTTAAAGAGAAAAGAGAAAGGGAGGGGTCAGTGAAGAGCACTGGAGTTGAGCTTTTTGTCATCCAGTGTCTTCAGTAGAAAGAGAGAGACACAAAGAAACAATAAAGCCAATAAATGAAATTAGGTCGATAATTTTCATTTATCATGCGATTAATTGATTTATTGTTTATCGCGACAGGCCTACTCATTTTTCAGTTGGTCATCATTATCTACACATAGGCTCTCACACTGGTTCATTTTCATTTATAAATCGCTCCTTGGTCTGCTGACCTCTTATATCTCCTCCCACTTATCACGTTGTCAGTGCAGTTACAGCGTGCGCTCTCAGGCCTTCATTACCCACAGCGTTTCTCTCAGTGTGGACTGAACTTGGCAAAAAGCCTTTTCCTACTCTGCCCCTGTAACCTGGAATACCCTGCAACAGGAAATGAAGTTGTCCACCTTAATTTCTTTAAGGGGTTTCAAATATTTGATAATGTCAATAGAAACATCAACGCAAATATGTTCTTGTTTTTAATATTTTACCTTGTTTTACAGCACTTTGATTTATTGTTTTATAACACAAATTTTATTTTTATTGTATTTTTGCTGTAAGTTTATTGTTGTCTGTACTTTATATATCATCTGTCTAAAACAGGTCTCTCTTGCAAATGTGTACTCGCGACTCATTGAGACTAACCTGTTTAAATAAAGGTTGAATGAATGAAATATATCACAAGTGAGCTGAGAAAACACAAACAAATCCTACAACTCAGCCAGTTTTACAGATGTTGAGCTAAAACTTGGTGTGCGAGTAGCTGATAGTCATCTATAATGCAGACTCCAAGCACTAACTGATCATGTGGAATCATGTGGAATCATGTAACATAGCATGAGACATTTTCAAGGTTTGACTAAAATGGCTAGAACTCTGTTATTTCTCATCTTCTGATTATCTTAGTTTAAATCTATGAGATGAAAGGCAGTGGGTGATATGCATTCCTTCAAAGAATGGCAAGTTTAATTTATTGTGCTTTTTAATATAAAAAAAATAGACATCTTTTAAATAATATGTAGCCTAAAACTGTGTATGTATTATGAAGAGTCCACTGTGTGTGTATTTCTTAGTTATGAAGTTGAGATCAGAGTGCAAGCTAATTATTGACCCAAAGATTTTCTTTACTGTGTGTGTCAGTCCTGCAACAGTGTTTGTGCTCTCTCCAAAAAACAGTTCCTTAATGTAGGCAGAAAACTCATGAACCCTCAATACGTTTTTACATTTTTTGAGATATACTCAATCAATAATGAGGTAATTTTGGAAGTAAACATCCCATGTTTTATATGTCGTAGTACAGTAATATTAGCCGCGTGCTCATAACACACGAGTCAACCTTTGTATGTGTGACCATGTTGTGGGGAGGGGCTGAGTGGTAGCACAAGTACACAGAGGGAGGAGAAGGGAAAGAACCAACCAGTTTGTCAAATGAATACAGCAGCACCTTGAGGCGTCTTCACTTGCCTTTCATTATTCCTCCCCTTCTGGACATAATGGATCTCCTGTCAACTGGAAAAGGATTTATTATGATAACAAGGAGCAGCTGACTGATACCTGCTACAAGAAGATTTCTGAGACAGTGTGGACTCCTGCAGCATGCTGAACCATCCTTCTCATCCCATTCTCCTCTCCTTATCCCTCCTGTTGTGGGTGCTCCTTTGGAACGAGGTGGCATGTTCTCCTGGGAAGGGCAGCAGTATTTGGCTCCAACTTAAACCAAGTCCCATAATCAAAAAACAGTCTTTCCTTCATGATGACTTCCCCTCAGGATTTCTCTGGGGCTCGGGGACCTCTGCTTTCCAAACAGAAGGAGCTTGGAATCGGGATGGGAAAGGGGTCTCCATTTGGGACAGTTTCACCCACTCCTCGGTGAGGGGTCCGATCACCGGAGTAAATGCAGATGTGGCAAGTGACAGCTACAACCGCTGGGAGGAAGATGTGGAAGCACTGGAATATTTAGGTGTAAGATCGTACTCTTTTTCTCTCTCCTGGCCTAGACTCTTCCCTGACGGCAATGCCACAGGTGAACCCAACGCAGCAGCCGTGGAGCACTACAGGTGCCTCATAGAGAGGCTCCTGGAAAAGAAAATCGAGCCCATCGTCACTCTTTATCACTGGGACCTGCCACAGGTGCTCCAGGAGAAATACGGTGGCTGGAAAAATGACACATTGGTGAGACTTTTCAGGGAGTATGCTGCATTTTGTTTTCAGACATTTGGGGGTTGTGTTAAATACTGGCTCACAATGCACAATCCATACCTAGTGGCTGTGCAGGGGTATGGGACAGGCGTGCACGCTCCTGGAGAAACAGCAGGGCTTTCTGGCTCTCTAATTATTGCCCACAACCTGATCAAGGTAAGTCACAGGGTTCCTACATAGTATGGAAAACTATAAAATTTGACCTTAGTATTTTCCAGGTATGGTTATGTACTGAAAAAATGAAACAGATAATAGAAAATATTAGTGCTTTCACAATCCCTTACCAATTGCATTTTCTTAAAAAAGAAAATACAAATAATCTTTTTGTACAAGTTGCTCAAACAAGAACATTTTTCACCTTGACTGTATGATAAAAATGAACAAACTCACCACACTGCCCACTTTGTTTCTTATTTATCCACTAACAGAAACTGAAATAAGGAACACAGATAATTCTTTGTCATGGGACACCATATTTGTACTATTTACAATGTCATTATTGAAAAAGCAAAGCCTTTAGTTGTTTAGGTAACAGTCAATAAGTATACAGCCCATGTATGAAAACATAAAAATGAATTGTTCACCTGTTCTTTCATAACAAGTACAATAAATGTACAATCATTTTGATACATGGCAGAAGGAAATATGGGTCCAGAGGGTGCTGCTGCATCCTGTAATAGATGCCAGATGATATAGATGTAAAAAATGCACAGACACTAAAACTTGCTGGGTTAGAAATAATCTGATTTGTAACCCCATGCTGGGCTGAATTTGGACCAGTGTAGTTTTAAATGGTCTATTTTGTGTATTGAACGCTTTTTGAAGTCTGTACTAATATAGAGCCTTTCTATCTTATCAAAATACTCAAAACGCTTTACACTACAATCTGTGCCTCATTTACCCATTCATACAGTGGTCTACTATACCTTTACAAAGACTAATCAGAGCTTTATCACATTCATACAACAATGGGACACATCAGTGGCAATGGGGGGTTCAGTGTCTTGCCCAGGGACACTTCAGAATGTGATTGCTGGTAGAATCGAACTCCCAACTCTCCCATGGGAGGATGACTGCTCTAACCACTCAGCCACTGCTGCCCTCTGAGTTTTAACTCAGCGTGCTTTGGTTATCAATTTGATGACGCCCCCCCCACTGGGTAAAGTTTTATACCCAAAATTTGGGTTAAAATGACTAGTTTGGGGAATTACAGGTACTAAGAGGTTGAGTTAAAAAGAAAAGCCCTAAACCTGAGATACAGTAGTCCCTTAATACTTCGCGGTTCGACTTTCGCGGACTCACTCATTCACGGGTTTGAAAGTTGCAACATAAGATGGTACACAATACACAATTGGCTGATTTATGAAAGGCGATCACCCAGAGCATTGTGCTCTGTATCCCGGATGCTGATCAGCTCAGTAACCATAGCACCAGTCTGCCTGCTCTCTTTTGCTGTGGTCTTTTGTAAAATTGATTTCAAGCCCTATGATGCCACCCAAAACGTTCTGCACCTTTTAAGGTTTCAGGCAGTGAACTCAAGCACCAGAGAAAGATGCTTACCATAAAAGAGAAGGTTGAGCTTCTTGACATGTTGATGGAAGGGAGAACCTATGCAGCTGTCGGCCACCATTACGGGATCGACGCTAAGGACCGGGAAGTACGGTCCCCGGATGGTGACTGTACCTCCGGCGTCCATACAGCCCTCCCCATTCTCCTTCCGTCCCCGTCTGCACACCTCTGGACGCACTTCCGGGGGACGCCTTCTCCTGTCCAGTCCGCTGTGCTCGCATAGCGCAGCTGCCGGTGGAGACCTTCCTCTGTGCTGCTTGTGTCCTCGCACTCACCTCCCCAAGACTGGCGGAGGACACTCGCTCCAATGGGGAAAGGAGAATGGAGGCCACCGTGCGGGCGACACGTTGGCCCTCTGGACTCGCCCCCACCACCACTGTCAGACCCCGCTGCCCGCGCCTTGAACTCTTGAACTCTCCGGTGCAACGCTCACTGTATCAAGAAGGACAATATGGATATATATATATACTCAAATAAATATAATGTCCCTAATTTGCAAATTTTCACCTATCGCAGGGGTGTTTGGAACGTAACCCCTGCGATAAGTGAGGGACTACTGTAATTATAATTTGGGTTAGTACTAGCAGGCTTGTGCTAACGGTTATTAACACCAGCAGGCTAGCACCAACTGATGTTATTTTTGGAACTCAAACTCAATGTTTAATACAAACTAAATTGTTAATAAAGCTAACCAGGTTAAAAAACTTACAAGTTTTTTTTTTTTACTGTCTATATGTATTACATAGTAAATCAGTGGTCCAGTCAGGTCCAGTTTGGTCAACTTCTGGTTAAAAATGATGGACTGTGAAGAACAGCATGGCTCATTTTCAACCCAACCATTGGATCAAACTTTTGGACCCATCGTTTGGTAAAACAAACCAACCCAACAACTTTAACTCAGCAATAGAGATAACAACACAACCCTGCAGATTTTAGTGTGTATTTAAAGTATTATTAAAAAAATTACAACAGATATTTAATTAATGCCATACATGTTTAAATGCATTTGAATATTACTACATTTTGTAAATCAGGTATATTAACCAGCCCTGTTATTGTATAAGCTAAATTTTATGACTGCTTAAAACCCACAAAAAGCTATTTGACTTAGGTCATAATTGCAATTTCATTGACGTTGTCTAAAACATACAGCATTTTCTATTTGCATTTAACTGCATTTATCATTTGGCATTATAACAATCTTAATATGAATACAAAGTCATACATGTTAACAGCACCTCCCCAACTGAAATGCATTCCCACAGCTGATTGCAAAAAAAAATTAAATTAACACAGTTTTGCTCAGGAAAAGCATGGATTCAAAAAATCTAAATGTGAGCCCTGAAGTCATACAAAATTACTAAACAAATTTGTACATTTTATTCAATTACACATAGACACGCTGTGTGTAAACTTTGAACTCTTGCAGCTTTATCATTTTATGATGGTCAATGAATGGTTATATGTTTGAAAAGACTGTTGGGACACAGGACAGTGAAGCAAACACAGACTGCATCAGTGCTCCAATAAAGTGTGCTGTCTTTCTTAATTCAACATTTGTTCTGCATGCAGCTTCTCAAAAAACACCCCAAACATCCCAGCTTGCTCAGTATTTTATCTTCTTGATGACTGGTTGGCTATATTTATATTGACAGGTTTGTGATAAGTTAACAGGACACTTGCAGAGACACTGAGATCAAAGTCCACCACATCAGCACTTTTGTGTGTGTCAGGAAGTCAGTGAGATACGCCTCATTAATAATCACTTATGTTTATGCAGTCAAGCACAGATGGTAGGCTCACAGCTAACACTGAGAAGATGGAACAAGCAAATAATGATTTCCTGTTCCAACCTGGAAGATCTCATTAATACTCTGTTACCACTGCACTTTTCTCTTTTGCCTCAATCTAAATGCCTTGTTTTTATTGATCTGATGGTGTGGTACAGTATCTGAACAACTAACTAATAAACAGTTTTCAGTTACATTTTGAAAAAGTTAAATCATATATTTGAATCTCTGCAATACTAATGTTAAAGCAATCAATTATTTGACTAACTGTATAATTGAGTGCAAATGTCTGGGTCCAGAACTAGACTAATCTTTTTTTGGCTGTCCCCTATTAAGGCTCAGTGGTTAGCACTGTTGCCTCACAGCAAGAAGGTTCTGGGTTCAATCCCCGGTTGGACCTGGGGGTCTTTCTGTGTGGAGTTTGCATGTTCTTCTCGTGCTTGCGTGGGTTTTCTCCGGGTACTCCAGTTTCCTCCCACAGACCAAAAACATTCATGTTAGGCTGCCTTCAGGCCCAGGCCTCCCTTGCAAAAGAGATCTGTGATCTCAATGGGATTTGCCTGGTTAAATAAAGATTAATAATAATAATAAAAATAATAATAATTAAGAGGACACCACAGTGAGTCATCCTCCTCCGTCTCACACTGTCCTCTGCATTCTTTGTCCTCACTCCAACTACCTCCATGTCCTCTTTAACTGCATCCATATATCTCCTCTTTGGTCTTCCTCATTGTCTTTTTCCTGACAGCTGCATTTCTAACATCCTTCTACCAGTATACCCACTGTCCCTCCTCTGGACATGTCTAACCCATCTCAGTCTGGCTTCTCCAACTTTATCTCCCAGTTGTTCAACCTGTGCTGTACCTCTGATGATCTCATTCCTGATCTTATCCATCCTGGTCACTCCTCAGGAGAACCTCAACATCTTAATTTCTGCTACTTCCAGTTCTTTCTCCTGTTTTTTGTCAATGCCACTGTCTCCAGACCATACAACATTAGCTGATCTCACAATTGTCTTTTAAACTTTTCCTTTAATCTTTGCTGCCACTTTTTTGTCACAAATCACTCCTGAAACTTTTCTCCATCTACTCCATCCTGACTGGACTCTCTTCTTCACTTCTTTACCACACTCCCCATTTTCCTGGACAGCGGACCCCAATTACTTGGAGTCCTGCACCTTTGTGACCTCTGCTCCTTGTAGCCTCACTGTTCCACCGGCCTCCCTCTCATTCACACACATGTACTCTGTCTTACTACGAATGACTTTCATTCCGCCTTTTTCAAGTGCATACCTCCACCTCTCCAAGTTTTCTTCCACCTGTTTCTTGTTCTCACCACAGATCACAATGTCATATAATGTCAATGTTGATGAAAGTATGAAATTGGAGCATTGTTAACTGAGATGTGTAAAGATGAGTAAATACATAACAAGCAATTATCTGTGTTTTGCCATTGTCAGCGCACAAAATATAGTTTTATTGTTAAAAAATGGTACTTCAAAAGTGATGGAGTTAAACAAATGTAGCCAACATGCAATTTAGTTTTATAAATACACTTAAGAGACAGATTGTAATTTCAGAACATTTCAGTAAAATTGTGCTTGTTGTCATTTTTAGGCACATGCCACAGCATGGCAGACCTACAACAGTCACTTCCGTCCAACTCAGAAGGGGAAAGTATCCATTGTTTTAGGTTCCCACTGGGTTGAACCTCAAAAAGGCCAAGCCACCTCTGCCAATGTTACACTTTGTCAGCAGTCTCTGGAGGCTGTTCTTGGCTGGTTCGCTAGCCCCATTTTTGGTGAAGGAGACTACCCAGTCTCTCTAAAGTTGAAGTACGCGGATCTCATGCCCACATTCACCCCCGAGGAGAAGCTCTGGGTACAGAAAACAGCAGACTTCTTTGCTTTGTCTTTTGGACCAAACAATGTCCGTTTGGGCAAGAACCTTGTCCATAATGGGCAGACTGTAACCCCAGACCTGCGACGCCTCCTGAGCTGGATTAAACTAGAGTATGGGAACATGAGCGTGCTGGTGGCTGAAGGAGGCTGGTACTCTGATGCCAGTGTAGGAAGGGAAGACACAGTGGCCATCTATCTGATGAAGCGTTTTATCAATCAAGTTCTACAGGGTAAGAGAACAACCAGTAAAATCTAAAATGACAAATAATTCTTTAAAGTATAAAGAAACAAATGTAACGTCTCTTTATTTTGTAGCCATCAAGCTCGATGGCGTGCAGGTGTTTGGATACTCAGCCTGGTCATTGGTGGATGGGTTTGAGTGGAACTATGGCTACAGTATTCGACGTGGCCTTTTCTATATTGACTTTAACCAACAAAACAGAACCAGGATCCCCAAAACCACTGCACAGTACTACAGGCAGATTATCACTGACAATGGTTTCCCACCTGATGAATCCTCTATCCAGATTAAAGGCCATTTCCCCTGCAAATTTCACTGGGGTATCGCAGACTCTACCATACAGGTAAGATGTGAGAACAGCTTAAAAAGAGCCTGGAACAAAAATAGACTCAGTTATTTTGGTAAACAATTGTATATAAACTGAGTCAGCATTCCGACAATGGTCTTCCTGATTATGATGTCTTTTGTACATTTGTTGGACTGTAACTACTTAAGCCAGTTATTTATCAAAAACATCAGCTTGTCTAGGAAATTACAGCTATGGCTTTGGGTTCTTGCTACTTTTATAGCTTTAAAAAGTTGTTTATTTATTTCTCATAGAAATGCACTGAAAATTTTAAATCATTGTAAAACTTAAGCTTTAACTATTGTTTTGCTGGATTTAGGTAAATGACTGTTAAGTAATGTTAGTTTTAGCAATAATTTTGGTAAATTTTTAGCTTTCAAATACAGTTTGGGCGCCTGTGACCCCCACGACCCAGAAAGAAAGAATCAGGTAAAGATAATGGATAGATGGAAGGAAATACAGTATCACTAAATTTAGATTGCAGCAACATATTTGCTAGTTTTATCTATTTTGCTACATTTAGCTTTAATCCACTGTGTTGCTAAATGTAGCTTTAAGCTACGGTTGCGTTCATTTCAGTTTTAACTTTCATCTACTGTTTTGCTAAGTTTACCGTTGTGTTAATTTTTTAGCCTTTAGTTACTGTTTTGCTAATTTTAGCTTATGTTCTGCTTGTTTTAACATTAGCAATTCAATTTTAGCTTATTCGACAAATTTCACCAAAAACATTCAACCCTCAGCATTCACACACTATTTTTGGCAAAAATGCAAATTTCTCTCGTTGATTTTGTTTATTTTGCATAGATCTTTCACCTTTTTATTATTATTTTTTTTTGCAGGTCCGCTTCTTCCCTTTCTCCCCGCAGTTTACTGACCCTCACGTGTACAGCTGGAACCTGACAGGAGACAAATCGTTGCGTCCGATCCCCGGGGTGAAGCTCCAAACCAGACCAGCGCAGTGCACTGATTATTTGGCTATCCAAAGTCACCTTCGCCTGTTTGCATCCACTGGAGCAACCCATTACCGCTTTGCCCTAAACTGGTCCTTGATTCTACCCCAGGGAGACCGTTCAAGTGTCAACGCTGAAGCTCTCAGGTAGAAATGTACCAACACACAATATGAACTGGCACTCTCAAAATCGGACAAAATTCAGATAAATTTGATTATTTTTAACACATAAATATGATTTATAGCTACACCCTGATTTATAACAGAGACAGATTAAAGAAACGGTTTAGCTGTTTTGAAGTGGAGTTTTGGTCAACATCTTACCTGATGCAGATAGCTCTTTGAATGATCTTCATTTAGAGAAATGCTTAAATCTGACCAGATTGACAAGCTAATGGCCAGTCTGAGGGGATTTCTGTCATCGTAAATATATTTCAAGCTAAACAAGTTTCATTGTGGTTCATGTGAACATTTTGTAAACCATTACGAAGCCAAAAAATTTCACTTAACACAATAATTCCAGATGGAATATTCTGATTCCCCAGCAGAAATACCCCAAGCTACACCAGTGCTACAGCTAGCCACTTCTATTTGCACTTGCAAATAATCATTGACTGAACCGCAATGAAATTTTTGAGATCAGGGTTGTTTTACGACAGCAGTAGGCCACTTGAATTTAGGTCCAGCTCAAACTAGTCATCCGTTCATCAACTCAAGCTATCTGCAACAGGTAAGATATTTTTTGTTCACAACCATTATACCAAACTCCACTTCAAAAGATCTGAGTTAAAGCTTTAAATTAGATATCATTTATATTTTATGTGTCCTGTGTCTGCAAAAATAACACCTTCCTCTATGCTTCTAAAAGGTACTACAGCTGTTTTCTCATGGAGCTCAAGAAGCTGGACCTAGAGGCTGTGGTCGTTATGTACTACCCAACACACAGAGCTCCAAATCTGGGTTTGCCAGAACCAGTGCAAGCCTCTGGAGGTTGGCTATCGTACAACGCAGTGGAAGCATTTCAAGAATATGCAGCACTTTGCTACCAGGAGCTAGGTACCTGGGTTCGATACTGGATCACGATTAACGAGCCGAACAGATTGATAGATATTTATTCTAATGTGACAGAGAGGCATCAAGCAGCTCACAACCTCCTTCTGGCTCATGCCAAAGCCTGGAGGTTGTATGAGAGGGAATACAGTGAACAGAAAGCTTTGATATCATTTACATTACATGCTGACTGGGCCAAACCTGCCAACCCATTCCTAGAGTCGCACACACTGGCAGCAGAAAGATTCCTTCTATTTGAAATCGGTCGCTTCTTAGACCCCCTGCTGGGGTCTGCATACAAGGAGAAACAGAGGAAGGGGAAATACCCACCTGGAATGAAGGCATACTTGGAGGAAAGAGCTAGAATATTGGGCCTCCCTGGATCGTCTCTCCCTACTTTCACTGATGCTGAGACAAAAGAGCTGAGAGGAGCGTTAAGCTTTATCGCCCTAAGTCATTTTACTACCCGTTTAGTTTCTCCTCTTCCTCCGACACAGGCCGCTTTTCAGAAGAAACACGTCCCCGATCACGACTGCATGGTACTCTCTGACCCCACCTGGCCTTCCTCCAACTTGGGACAAGCTCTGGTCCCCTGGGGCTTACGCAAGATGCTGAACTGGGTGAGCCAGCGGTATGGAAGAAGTCTGCCTATTATTGTCACAGGAAGTGGAACTGATGATCCAGCTCCTGTTGAGGATAAACTCAGACAGCACTACCTCAAGAGTTACCTTCAGGAGGCACTCAAAGGTAGGGGCACCGAGAATTGGTTGAGTAATCGTACGAAAGTACATACCGTATTTTTCAGACTATAAGGCACACTTAAAATCCTTTAATTTTCCTCAAACATAGACAGTGAGCCTTATAATCCAGTGTGCCTTATGTATTAATTCTGGGTGTACTTACTGACCTCGAACCAATTTTATGTGGTACAACTAAACAATGCTGAGAGATATTGTGAATGAGTTGACTAAAGTTTGACTTATCTGACTGTTTTGTTTCGCTTAATGCGCCTTATAGTCCGGAAAATATTGTATTAAAACAGAAGCACAGACCCGCAGGTAATACAAGTTTAATTGCCTTGTTACCTTCTACAGTAAAATCCAGACTTAACGGAACGGCATGAAAACAATAAAAGCATAAAAAGAGGGAGAGGCATACACTATAAAAGGCAGTTCTGCTCAATGTTTTCACGTGTCACTTATTATATGGCAGGCAAGTGTGACATATAATCCAATAATGCTCACATATTTAATAACATTTTAAAATATCAATAACAGCTTTTCTCCTAGTCTGAATGACGTTCCTACTACTCAAAATAAAGTTCAATGTATCTTAAATTACACCTGCACCAGTAAAAATGATATTTAAAAGCCTCAACAACTGGAATTGTATTTGGTAAGTGAAGATAAATCTAAAAGGTTTCAGAAGCTGTTTAAACACTTAATGCATTGACTGATGTGCATCACAGATAATGTATTCATAAATAATTTTTTCCTTCACAAAGCAAACATTTCATCTACTCAGAACACCACCTGCCCAACATACAATCAACATTTCAACAAACCCACCTCTTTAGATTAGCTTATTCTTAATTTAGACAGGCGTACTTTTGATTTTAATGTTTGCTTTTATTTTATTTTTCAACTCGTATTGTTACAGTTTTGTCTGCTGTATAGTGGTTTTTAACTGTACAGTATCTTTGAGTATTTTGAAGGCAGTTTTTAAATAAAATGTATTATTATTATTATTATTATCATCATCATCATCATTATTGTTTCAGATATTCTATACATAATTTTTCCTAGAACGAATTACGTACTGTATTTTTCAGACTATAAGGCAGACTTAAAATCCTTTAATTTTCTCAAAAATCGACAGTGAGCCTTATAATCAGGTGAGCCTTATGCATTATTTCTTGTTGTACTTACTGACCTTGAACTGATTTTATATGGTACAAATGAACAATGTTCATATTTATTGTGAGTGAGTTGAATAAAGTTGGACTTATCTGACTGTTTTGTTTTACTTAATCCGGTGTGCCTTATAGTCCGAAAAATATGGAACATCAGTTTTTTTTTCCATTATTGAGCTTTCAATTTCAAATATTCTCAAAAAGTTCTTCCAATCTAAAATCAACACTGTAAATTTCCCGAAACAGATTTTTTACTAGGAAAAACTCAATTTGCTAGTCACAAGTTTAATTTCAGCAGTTTTTGTGTAAAACTTACATCACCACAGGTGCTCAATAAATATGTTTGTCATTTGTTATGACAGTTACAATTTACACCCTTAACAAAATTGTTATTCTTTGTTTTGTTTTTTAGATTTATTCAAATATTTATCAAGGATATTTGGGAACATTTTATTTATTTTTTGACATAAATGAATGAATGAACTTTATTTAAAAAGGGACATCGTACAACTCAAACATAAATGTCACCATTTGTTGCACTGTACCAGATTATAGCAAAAGCTAATTCACATCTGCAGTCTCTTGACAATAAAGCAAATAAAAATTATGACAGAATTAGATTTCTAAAATTGTAATTTATTCCTTTAAGTTGTTTTTTTTTAAAGATATCCACAATGTTTATTCTACATAAAACAATGTATTTGTGAATATTTGGAACTGAACGCTCGATATGCATAAATGGAAAAAGTGATTGCATTTTATCAAAGAAGAAGATGCTTGAAATCTCTGAAGTGATGGTTTGGAATAAAGCAAAATGCATTCTGGATAACTGAAATGTTCACTTTAACTAGGAAAACTTGAGTATCTGATTTGAAGATCTTTTCTGATAAATCGGCATGCCATACTTTTCATTTAAACAAGTTATTTTCTTACATGAGTTAACCACCCTGCATAAAATGCTTCAGTGTTAAGTAATTTCTGCTGTTACAGAATAAAAAGGGCCACATGACTGATAATAAACAATCTCCGCTATCGTTCTCTCTCTTATTTGTTTTCAGCTTACCATCTTGATCAAGTCAACTTGCAGGGATTCTTTGTGTGGAGGCTCCAAGACCGACACTCTCCCTTGTTCGGCCTCTTCACCTCAACACAACACCAATCCAAAGCCAAGGCCTCTGTTGCAACATACAAAGAAATTATTACCCTCAACGGCTTCCCCACTAATAATAATAAGACGAGACCATGCAGCGCTGATGATACGCCTCAAATGTGCTCTATGTGTGAATGGATATATGAGAACAAAGTGAGACTGGTTTTTGGAGGTTGCGTCCTCATTACAGCTGCTACGATGGCTGCACTTATTGTCTTTTTTTTCACCAACCGGAGAAATCGAAGACGAGACAGAAGGAAAAAGAGGAGTAGGCTGAACTGGAGATGAAGAAAGGGTGTTTATGTCCACCTGTTCAACATTAAAACAGCGAGAATGACTCAGTAACATGCAGCAGAAGCAGTGTGTGGCTTCATCATGGAGTGAGGCTGGACTTTCCTAGAAGTTTACCTGAAATCACTGTTAAAAAATGTCATTTCATTGTAGCATTGAGATTCTAAAACATTAATATACTTCAGTGATCACAAAATGCAAGTGGGCTTACGTTACGGCAAATGTACTATACTGCTCACTTATTGCTGTTTTACGAGTCATGACAAATAATAATAATAGTATGTAGTACACAGATTATTTTAAAGGAGAAGCCAGGATTACCTAATTGTTGATGGTACCTGAAAGCTTTAGCACAGAGCAAACATCCTTTCGTTTAATCCATCCATCACCTTTTACCCACTTCTTCCTTTTTGGGTCACTGGTCCCCATGTCCAGCTATCACTGTGTGAGAGGCGAGGCACACCCTGGACAGGTCACAAGTTCATGACACACACGACTCAAACAACCATTCACACTCCCAGTCACACCTAGGGACAATTCAGTTATTAATCAGCCTAACATGCATGTTTTTAGTTTGTGAGAGGAAACCAGAGTACTCGGAGAAAACCCACGCAGCACAGAGAGTACATGCAAACTCCACCCAGAAAGCCCCCTGGCCGGGATTTGATCCAGCAACCTGTTCGCTGAGAGGTGGCATCTTTACCATCTGCACCACCCTGCTTTTGTTTTAGCATTAATAAAAAGTTATCAATGATAAAAACATGCTGTGTAACTGTGATATAGTTTAGGTTCATATTAACTGTGGATGGTCGTTTTTGTGAGTTGACAAAACAATCTAGACTTTATTCAAACATGCATTGAAAAGTTTTCTCACAGTAATTCTCCAAGTGTTGGACAATATTACCACCTAGTGACAGCATGTGGAGCAACGATGAAACAAAAACGTTCTGCCAGTCTGTCTTTTATTAAAAATATACAGAGAATCAAAAGCCATTTTAGGCTAATGTGTAAATAAACATCATTATAACAGGACTGACTCAGTCTAATACAAAACATACCAAATAAATATCCACAACCACATATTTATATCTTTTAAGAATTAGATATAGTTGCTTGTCTTGTTTTGTCTCAGGATTGTATCTTTAAAGCGTACAGTTGTTGTGATGTGTATATAACAGAAATATAGCACACTGTTTTACCAGGATCATGCAACGTCAATTGCTGCTGAATAAATATTTATGTAAAAAACATCTGCGTTTTTATGAAACTGTATATGAAACAAACATCAATGCTGTGGTCCCTTTACCAGAACTGTATACATAACTATAGTTGAAAGCATTTCATTTAACAATGCTAAATAATAATGAGTGGTATTTAGTACTGTTTTTATTTATTACTTATGTTTAGCATTGACATCACTTTTGTTTAGACATATTTTAACGATAACAATAATAATAACATTAATAATAATAACAATAAAATCATTAATCAATTATTATTATAATAATGTACATTGAACGCTGATCAACCAATGAGATGAGGCGTTCAGGGTGGCTCGGATCACATGACCTCTTCTCCCCCAGCCTGCATGCAGTTTGGTATTAAAATGTTTTCAGTACCAACCATTGTGTTGGTGTACATTTGACATGGCAGCTACACGTTGAGCTGTTTTTTTTTTTCTGTTCCAAATTAAACCTCCCATCAAAACCAGGGGCGAACGAGACGAACGTGGAAGAACGTCACAGCTGTCATTTTTGACTCTGTTTTTGAAAAGTGAAGCTAACATTCGCGAGCTGGTCTGACTGCGACGAGGCCGCAACCGGACGGGAACACGGGGAAAGCCATGGCCAACATCGCAGTTCAGAGGATAAAACGGGAATTCAAGGAAGTCCTCAAAAGCGAAGAGGTAGGTCGTCATGCTGGCCACTCTCTAAGCGGTGGCTGCAGTTGCTTCTTCTTTTTATGGCTGAGTTAAGAGTGACGCGTCGTTGGCTCGTCATTAAAGCTACTGCTAGCATTAGCCAACTATTCGATAGGGCTGTGTTGACAAATAGCTACTATAACGCGGGCTAACAGTGTGCCAGCATGATGGGGTTTGGGGGCCATAACATAACTGTTGCTTGAACTCAAGTTATCATATTATAAACGTTTTAAATTAATACATTGAGCTATGGTTTCTGTGGTTGCTACTTTAGCTGCTAGCATAGTACTTACCCTCTGTGTCATCCCCACTCACTCACGTGAACGTCTCTGCAGACCCTCGTGAACATACCAGTACTTCAGATTATTATATCACCCAGATCTTTAAGTTTCTAGCAAAATGAGGTCAGCTTTTTCTAATCTTGTGTAAGTTTGAAGCTTGTGCCCTACAGACAGTAGTAGTGTGTTTGACAGTAGTCATTACCTGAGTGCTACACCCTGTTAAAGTGATATTTCTCCACCTTTCTATCATTTCAGACGAGCAAAAACCAGATAAAAATAGACCTGGTGGATGAGAATTTTACAGAACTTAAAGGGGAGATAGCAGGGCCTCCTGACACACCATATGAAGGTAAGGGGCTCTGCTGCTAGGCAAAATGTATGGTTGCACAATTTTATTTTGTGATAATTTATCACTTAACAGGCAAAAACAAAATTCTAGTTCCTACTGACAAGATAAAATACTCATTTTGTTTAGCAGGCTTGAACTCTCTGTTACACTTTTTTAGTAATTTAAAGTTGTATATGTATTGTTATACAGGTGGTAGATATCAACTAGAAATAAAAATTCCAGAAACGTATCCATTCAATCCACCCAAGGTAAGGAGTAATTTTTTTTAAAGCTACAAGTGATTGTCCCATTTACATGTTTTTTTTTTTTTTAATATCCCTTTGACTTAAGAAATTCCCTGCACTGTACTAATCTACAAATTGTTTATTTTAATATCTCAGGTGCGGTTTATCACAAAGATCTGGCATCCAAATATCAGTTCAGTCACAGGTGCAATATGTCTGGACATTCTCAAAGATCAGTGGTGAGTAAATCCAAATCGATGCCAGCATTCACAGTCAGTACTTAATTGTTTAAGACAGAAATTCGTACACTGAATCCACAAAAAAAACATTTTTCACTGTAAAAATTTGATCCTTATATTCCACCATTGTTTATATTGTTTAAGTGCACATTTTTATAGATTTATTGAGACTTTTTGTGATTTTGACCATCATGACCTTGGTGTTTGCAGGTTTTAGCCTTTTTAGGCAAACAATGTTAAAAATAGTCAAATGTTGGGATAGCTCAGTGCTTGCAAGTTTTTAGGTAAGCTGAGAGAATGGACTGATATTTATAAAAGAAGAGAAATGAATAAACCGATGATGAAGTTAAACAAAAGCAATAATTCCTGTGTCTGATAAGAAAATGGAAAAACTATTCTGCATTGTCTTCAGAAAAGGTCAAATTGAATCTGTGCACAATGATTTAGAAATGTGAACTGAATGAACATAAAAGTGGCTCAAGTAATTTTGAACTTCTGACATTTATCTAATAAAGAAAAGCAATGAAAGCTGGATTAAAAAAAAAGTTGATTTGAAAGAGGTAATAACATTTCAATATATGAAAGCTTCTCCTTGAAATTTTGCATCTGTATTTAATTATATGGACACTTTGGTCTGAGAGACTTGACTCCGATTCTCCAAACTCACTGTGCATCTTTAGACATCTGTTTCTCTTGGCTCTTTGCTGTGTATTTTAGTGTTAATCTACTCTGTTAAAAAGTTAACGTTTTCCTCCTCCTGTCAATGGGAGGCGAGTCGAAGAGTCTTAAAGAGAGACATGGATCCCCACACTGTAGGGCTGCAAATTCAGATCTATTTAGTGCTTTTAGTAAATGCTACACATGTGTGCGTAGGCTCTTGCCTTCGAATTGTCTGCTCCTCAGATAAATAATCCTATTAACTTACTTTTTATGTATATGAATGTTTCTGTTCAGTGCCCCGAGATGAGTTCTGTTGTGAGTTGGCGCTATATAAATAAATTGAATAATTGAGAATGTTATGAAAAATGACTCATCCTATTTATGCTACTTTACAGAGCAGTACTTATTAAACTCAATGGTTTGCAACCTTTATAAAGAGGGGTCCAGAGGACCTGACTCAACCTTGTTAGATTTATCTACCTGGGTTATTGAGCATACTTCAGGACATTTAAAAAGAGGGGTTCATGCACTGAAATCTTTCTACAATATTACACTTTACATTTTAAATGAGTTGCTCATTGAGCTTGGTCCTTCTATACCTAAAAACTTATTTTGTTTTACATGACACACTAATGCATATATATATATTAGTGCGACCAAATGTCTTATGAAAATATCCAACTTTATGAACTGATATTTTTCTCTAGATCTAAAAGCAAATATCACTGTAGTTGTTATTTCTGGAGTCGTGCTAATTGCACATGTCGTCTGTGCTCCAATAAATCTTCTCTAAACGTTCGGTAATATCTTCTTCATCTCATTGAACGTGAATCAAATGGGCTTGTTCACTACTTTTAATGCACATCACAAAGCATGAATAAATGTTAGTTCCCAGGATGGAACCTGTGCTTTTACTTTTTAATTTTTTTTTATTTCCGTGCCATTTAACATTCCACCTGTAACAATTTGTTGTTTCAGGGCAGCAGCCATGACACTGAGGACGGTTCTGTTGTCATTACAAGCTTTACTGGCAGCCGCAGAACCAGATGATCCACAGGATGCAGTGGTAGCCAATCAGGTTTGTGTGCAAGTTTATTATGCTTTCCCATTTGTGCTGCAAGTTCTTTCTGTTGTTCGTTAAGGATTTATCATATTATTTTTACTAACTATTGGAATGTTACCATCTTAAAAACAGATTTGTCCCATTATTTTGTGTTGGTTGTCATGTACTCAACATGCTTGTTATGATTTGGAGAGTACATAATAAGGAAAATAATCTTCAGATTAATTCTTAATGCGAATAGTTGTTTGATCAAAGCACTTTGCATTCATTTTGTGTATGCGTGTTTATATAAAAAATATGTTAATATGATGTCACTGCCACTCAACTAGCAAAAACTCTTGAATACCTTCATCTCATATAAGACCTGCTTGCAGCACGTCATGTTTCTCACAACTCGTACCTATTTAAAGCCTGATTTACAGTCATTGCACAGTCCCATTCTCGTGTTCTCTGCTATGGGTGCGTGACAAAAATTGCACTTTTCTACTCTTACCACTCACCAGCACCCCACCTTGTGCATTCAGAACGGGGGGCAATGATTTTTGAGTGTTTTCAGAATAAAAAAAAAAAAAAGAAGGCAAAATCAAATCTCTACAACTTGATTTGTTGTAAACAAAATTATTCTATCTTGCGACTGTTGATAGTGTTGTGCTGAATTTCTTTTCAACAAGCATCCTTCTGCTTTTCCTCTTTGTTCCTCACTCAGTACAAGCAGAATCCAGAGATGTTTAAACAGACAGCGAGACTCTGGTCTCACGTCTACGCAGGCGCTCCCGTCTCCAGTCCGGAGTACACACGCAAAATAGACAAACTCTGTGCCATGGGCTTTGAAAAAGTATGTATCTGTAAACTCCACCGCCCCCTGCTGTGCGCCGAACTGCTGAATGTTTTGTTTCTACCCACAGAATGCAGTTATAGTGGCGTTGTCGTCGAAATCCTGGGATGTGGAGACGTCGACAGAGCTCCTGCTCAGCAACTGAATTCTGACGGCCTCTTCAGTCTCCTGATTCCATCTCTCTCAACACAAACACACTCACTCTCCTCCAAACTCCTGCTGTGTGAAGGCGTGTCTTGCTCGATCCTACCCCCCTGTTTTACAATGGACACACTCCACCACTTCTCCATCCTCCCTTTAATCCTGTCTGTGTGACGTTTCCCGTCACCCCTGCTGCACCACACTTCAATCTTCTGCTGTCAGCTCTATTTTTTCAAGTTCATTCAACATTCCACCCAGTGCTTGAATCTGAAATCCAACCTCATCTTACCCTCTTCTGAAGCAAACTAGACTTAAGTCTTCACCCGCATCTCTCACCGTTTCTCCCAGATTTCTGGCTTTGTCCAAAAAGCGGCTGTCAGCGGCGCACCTTTGCCTATGCAGTGCATTTTTTTTAATTTCTGAAAACCTTTTTGTTGAAGAGAACCCTTTCAGGGCTTTTTTTTTTCACACCTGGTTCTCATTCAAAACACTTTGGGCCTGTTTTCAAAATGGGGATTAAGTCACGTCCTAAACTTTTAAATTAGGGTTTATGTATTTTTTTTTTAAAGCTCTATAAACTAAATTCACTCACTCATTTGTAATGAGGTTACTCTTTACCAGAACAGGTCACCATAGTTTGAAAGAGTTTTCTGACATCGACGCAAGATGCTGATTATTGAACATATCTTGCTAGCAAAGTATTGCATTGTGAGCATAGTACAGTTTTAGGTAAAATAAGTATCAAAAGAAGAAAAAACACCTTTTTGTGCTGTTATGCATGAATTGAGCATGTATTGTAGTGCATTATCTAGGTCGGCTTATTCTTTGTTCTGGAAAGCGGCTCATAAGTGTCTTTAAGGTGTTCGCACAGTAGCCATCATCATCATCCCGTTTTCCCCTCAGCTGTCAACAGCTCCTGCAGGAGATCCCCACCTCCCTTTGCCACATGTGGCTCGACATGGCTTCCTTCACCTGTTCTTCTCCCTCACATTAAAAAAAACCCAACTTTTATTTGGTTTAGGCCTCCAACAGGGATACATTTGAATTCTTGTTTTTTAAACCCTAAAGAAAACAAAGAAAAACGATGTTCTGTAGTAACACAACCTGTGACAAGTCTGGAAAAATGTTGCATCACCTTTAATTAAATCATCAGATAAAATGTCAATGATTCATCTGTAAATACAAAGATTAAAGTCTGTGTAAATTAATTAAATTGTTTCCCTTTTGTTGCCTGTTAAACATGTTCTTTGTTGTGGCAAGTTTTGAAATTGATCGTCAAAAAGCTGCCTAGCAAGATATATATATTTTTTTTTTTTTTTTGTAAAATATTACTTTTGGTTTCAGTGTTGATGAATAGTTTCTCCTATTTATGCTTCCTGTTGTGTTGGAGCCAACATTTGTTTAGAAGTATGGTTGAATCTGCATATTGAATAAAAATGAGGCAGTAAATTATCTTTAGACAAGTGAGAATTTAACCGATGGGGATTATGTTGCAGTAAAACCAAGCAGACCAGTTTTGATGAATGTTTATGAGCTTTTCAGCTCTGGAGTTTTTCTTCTCGTGCTTCGAGCTTTAACTGCTGTTGTGTTAAAGCTCATTTGAAGCACAGGTGGATCAAAAACAATTACAAGCTCAGAATAGTTGTCAATTTTTTTTTCTTCTATTGGGTAATCTGAGAACATAATGACAGAGTTTGTCTTGTGTCGAATCTGTCCCAAAAACTGGCAGTAAACATTTCACTTGTTCCAACAGTCATTCTGGGTTTATTTGTGCTGAGCTGCAGCTTCTGAACACTAACGTGACCGCTTCGTATCAGAATGAGGGTGTATTGGACACAATGATTTTAGAAATGGCTGCTCAAAGGTTATTTAAACTGTCACCCCGACATAATTTAAAACGACTACCTTAAGGCTTTAACAAAATAAAACGTGTGATGTAAAATGATGTTCAAATCTTTAAAAGACCAATAAGATTCCAGTTGTGTTAAAAAAAAAAAAAATCTTTCACTGTCTTTAAGCAGTCTTTTTAGTACGATATTTTAACAGTCCCCCAAAATTAGTCTTAATAACTGTCATTTTTTTTTATTACCATAGAAAGTAATCACCTCTGTTGAAAGTCCTGTGTGATCAAATCATTTATTTAAAACTTCCAATCTTTTCTCTGTTGAGTTTTGCTCCAAGTGTTTCCTGAGCAGACCAGAGGCCCAGCTCAGGACGCGTGTTCGACAGGTTCAGAGTCCTGTGTGGTGAGGCGAGGACCTGTGGGCATCCTGTTTCCCTCAGTCTCCTCCTGCCATGTGATAGCCAGAGTTTTATTCCCAGCCAGCAGACTTGCTGCCAAGCAGTGAGCGGAGAGAACAGCCAGATGAAACGGTGCCCTGCTATCTACAGCCGAGTTCAACTGGGGTTTAATGGACATCATGTAGATCTTTCAGGGGAGGACACACAGGACTCTAGATAACTGAGTCAAGTTACATTTAGATTGTTCTTGGGGAATCCAGAAATATTCAAGATGATCCAAGTTATCTGTCTGACAATGCTGCTTACTGAAGGTGAGTATTAAACGGGGGTTATTTTATGAGGAATAAAATACATTTAAAGTGTGACTGATGACAAAGGTTTGGTGCATCAACTGCCTCGGGTTTGAAGAAAGCAGCCGTTACACAAGGCTTGAATTTTGCATGACCTTTAAACCACTGAGCTGCATAGTCTGCTCTGGCAAATGCAAGATTAATTTGTCTGCTAAATATCTTTTATTTTGATTAAAACATCACTAACCAGAGAAATTTACATTTTTCTGCAAAAAAATTCTGTGTGACTGCTGAGGGCTAAGTGCTGAATTTTATTTAAAAAGCTGAAATTGGTTGATAAAACAAGCAGAACAGTAGCTAAAATATGTAAAATAGACGAGCTTGGATTACCTAAACATAGCCAGTCAGACTGCATTAGCAAAACTATTAAATTAAAATGAGCAAAAGCTAAAGTTAGCAAAACAGCTAAATTAGCAAAAGCCAAGATTTAAGCTAAAATAAGCTAAACTGTAGCTAAAAACAAAATGGAATAAAACTTATGCTTAAAGCCCAAATTACCACAACTAAAATATACAAAACAGTAACGACAAGGTTAAATTAGCATACTCGTAGATAAAAGATCAAAACTTCAGCTAAAAGCCGAAACGATCCAAACTATTAGCTAAACTAGCTGCAAGCTAAAATGCGTATAACTGAAGCTAAAAACAGCACAATGAACAAATACACTGAAGCAGATTTCAAAGAGAACAATAATTTGACTGAACTGAGATCTTGCTGTATTGTTGAAAAAGTTTGCAAACGAAGTATATTTTCTCAACTATTTTGAAAAGTTTTAAATTTACAAATATTAAACTTGTTGACATGATGATTTCCAGTCAAGCCGCGCATTTTGATATTTGAATGGTTAAAATAAAAGTCTCCAGAAGTCATTTGATTTCAAAGAAATATACAGAAGAAAAAATATAAACAGGAAAACAATAGAGTGAATGCTGATTCACACAATGACGGCCCTCTTCACCACTGTTTTTACACAATTGAATCATACTTAAAAGTCTGCAAAGTGTAACTTACTAAATGTAAGTTACACTTTGCAGATGTTTAATGCTACACAATAAAAAACATTTCTGTAATTGTTAAACACCTGTCCTCTTTCTTTCTACCTGCCCTCAGTGGTTCATTGTGCACAGGGACACTTTGCTCACAAGCTCCTGAATGATCTGATGGAGAATTATTCCAGCGCCCTGCGGCCTGTGGAGGACACAGACCAACCTCTCAACGTCACCTTAAAGATCACTCTCTCTCAGATCAAAGACATGGTGGGTACCAGCTCGTAACGTGATAAAGACATTTGATGATGAGACAAAAGATGGCTTGAGAGACAAGTATTATTTTTACTAAAAGAAAGTCCAAAAACATGACGTACTGAAAGAACTTGCTTTCCTAAAAGCAATGGTTCTCAAACTGGGGTCCCCAGACCCCTGTGAGCCGGTGCTTGGGAGTCCGCAAAAACCACCAAAACAACTTTTTTTTAACAAGCACGTAGACGGTTAACAACCAGTTAAAATATACCGAAATGCAGTAAGTCACATCAACTTTATTAAAAAATTTCTGGGGGAGGACCCCCCCCCCCCGCCCCCCACCTACTATTTGCATTCTGGCATCAATCAGTTTACAAATGAAGCCCTGTTACTTGGTCTGACTACTGCTGTTCTGATTCTGTTCAGTTTTATGTAAAGTTTTCTGTAATAATTTGAAGAATTGGCAACACATTTATTCTGTTCTTTAGGTGAAGAGGTAAAGTTTTAAAGTGGTTTTTGATGCTGTTAATTTTCTTAAAACTGTAATTTTTGGAAGTTGAAATAAACATTTTTGTTAATTAAGAGTGTCCTGAATGAAAAACACTCCATGTTTCAAAGTATAAAAATTGTATTAAAACTATTAAAGAACAGGTCTTAAGTATTTATGTTACACAAATATTTCCGTTGCATTAAAGAGACAAATTGAAGAAAATGATTTGATAAACATGAGGCTTATGAGGGGGTCCCAAATTAATATAGTTGTAGATTTTAAGCAAGCGATTACTTTCCACAAGTTTCATTAATATTTGTTCAGTGACCCATGATATATATATATACATATATATATATATATATATATATATATATATATATATATATAAACTTTATATATGCTCCATATATATACAGTATATACACTGTATATATTTGTAACAGACAAACACACTAGCAGCCCACACACGTGCAAAACATTATCTTGCCTCCACTTTTCAGTAGTGGGCGATGAATGTCAAATAAATATTGTCTTGATGCTAAATATGCAACTGGTTTTGGTAATTAACACGAGCCCACTGTGCTTTAGAGTAGCAACACAAAATTAATAGTCTGCACAAACCTAATTAGCCAAATAATTACACTTCATTAAAAATTGCTAGCTGCACACTTTGAATAAACGAAATAGACAGAACTCGTGTCTACACAGTAAACGGTGAGAAACTGAGATCAGGACTAAAGCAAATCTAAATGTTTAGTTTTGATTTGGATTTTCACTGCACTGATGTTCACCATTTAGAGTTTTTAACAGCCGATGTTCATGAATCACAGTCAGAACTTTAATTATAATAAAATAAAATACAAACAGAAATTAAGTTTGTGTTACAATAACACAAAGCTCTTATGTGTTTTTTGTTTATGGACCTCTATTCACCTGATATTGCACGACTGGACTGGATTTCAGCTGTGAAAATCTGAGTAGTATCTGTCAGAGAAGTGCAGATGAACAACAGAAAATGTTAAACGGAGGTGATGCTCTACTAAATTTACATTTAGTGTGTGAAGTTTTGAAGATACACAAAAATATGCAATAAACTGAGCTCCCATTTGCTTCCTTAACTGTCCACTTAAAAAAAGAAAAAACAATCTTCGCACATATTGTGCTTAAATTTGCTTTACTGTACACCAAATGTACAATTTTGCATTTCATGAAGCGTCTGAAAAAACATGACAATATTTTCATGGAAATCAGACATTTATTATCTATAAACCGTTCTGTGGCTGCTCATAACATGAAACTGAAGTTGATGGTCGACTGGTGGCGGCTGCAGAGCCTCTGACTTTAAATAAAAAGTATCTTTTCAACTTTTCCACATAAGCTATTCTGTTTGAACACACAAACACAGGCAGATACATGATTTTTTAAAAAAATCTTTCATGGCAGTAGGAGGTAATAACGGAATAAATAAATTACCTGGAAAATCAGAGAAGAAAATTCCAGATGCAAACCTCATGTAGTCGAAGTAAAACTAAAGAAGAGACTGGTTTAACACAGTTCACCCCATTCTCCAGAATGTAAAACTACTGAAAGTCTGTGGATGTTCAGGAACATCTTGAAACTCAGAATGACTTGTAGCTTCAAGAATGTGCTAACAACTCTAAAGTAGGCACTAGAAAATGGACAACAAATGGATGTTTTCATGTCGTAATATCTGGCAGAAAGGATCTGACTCTGTTTGTGTGAAGGATGAGAGGAACCAGGTGCTGATCGCCTACCTGTGGATCAGGCAGACATGGCATGACGCCTACCTCAGGTGGAACAAAGAAGACTACGACGGACTGGATATCATCCACATCCCCAGCAGCCTGGTGTGGAGGCCTGACCTCGTCCTCTATAACAAGTACGCCAGTATGTCATCAAACACATGTCCAAACCTGCATTGTAGAAAACGGGTGAACGCTCTTGTCAACAGACTTGAACAAATTATTTTCAAACCTTGTCCACTATCATTGATTAAATGCATGAATACGATTAAATGACTTGGATGTAATTCCACATTGGCATAGTGCTTATTTACAATGTATGACCAACTTGAAAACACAATTATGCACACCTTGATTTCCCTTCCTTTTTTTTGGACGCCCATCGAAGGCGAGATGTTTTATGATATAGTTTTCGTCCGTCCATACGTAAACGTTCTCCTGTCCAGGCCATAACTTTTGATCCACTCAAGATAATTCAACAAAACTTTATACGCCTGCATCATCACTAGACAGAGTGTCACGCGTTTTCATCACCCTAACATCAAGGTCAAAGTCAGACATCAAGGTCAAAGTTGAACAAGGCCATTGCTATACATTGCTGTATTGTTGTATAACAGTGTGTCGACGGATGTAAAATGTATTGTACTCTTGTTTATAGTCTTGTTGTGTACTCCTGTTTATAAGAGCGAGTGTGTTTGCAGCTCTCCAGACTGAAGAAGTCTTCTGGATAAAAGACAAAAGGTTTCAACAAAGAAGAATCCGCCCAGAGGACTTGACTCAACCTTGCTAGATGTATTCTTGTTTGTTCTCTAGAGCTGATGATGACTTCTCAGGACCAATGGACACCAACGTGAGGCTGCACTATAACGGAGAGATAACTTGGGATACTCCTGCCATCACTAAGAGCTCCTGTGAGGTGGATGTCTCCTACTTCCCATTCGACAGTCAGGAGTGTAACCTCACGTTTGGTTCCTGGACGTACAACGGCAACCAGGTACAAAACGACACCCTCATGTTTACAATCACTGTACAACTTGATGTGTCTGGATGTGCTGCAAAACTGCTGGCATAGCCCCACAGAACCTCACTGGCCTACACAAGGCGAGGTCACTGAACAAGGCCAGGCTGATTCTGGCAGATCCTGATCATCCACACCATGGTGAGTTCAGGTTGCTTCCATCTGGATGCAGGTACAGTATCTGCAGCCCAGATGTAGAACAAACAGACTGAAAAGCTCATTCATCCCTGTAGCGATGAGGCTTCTCAACGATCAGTGATGATTTCTGTTGTTATTTTAATGTCTCCATGTCTTGTCTAGTATGGATGTTTTGTGTGCCTATTGACTGTGAAACAAATTATCCCTCAGGGATAATAAAGATTCTTGAACTTGAACAACTAGGAGCATTTACAAATTGAATTAAATTTTAGAAATATGCCTCATTGATCAACTAGGTGGACATCATCATGGGGATGGACAGCGGTGATTTGTCAGACTTTGTAAAAAATGTGGAGTGGGAGTGCCACGGGATGCCGGCCACTAAGAATGTCATAATGTACGGCTGCTGCCCTGATCCGTATCCAGACATCACCTACAAGGTGCTCCTGCAGCGTCGCTCCTCTTTTTACATCTTCAACCTCCTCCTGCCCTGCTTCCTGATCTCCTTCTTGGCTCCTCTGGGTTTCTACCTGCCTGCAGACTCTGGGGAGAAGGTTTCCCTCGGGGTGACGGTGCTCCTGGCTCTTACTGTGTTCCAGCTGATGGTGGCCGAGAGCATGCCACCTTCAGAGAGTGTGCCGCTCATAGGTAAGAAGGTTTGTGTTCAGGATGGGGTTCAACCAAACCAGCATTGGGCTTTAATGTATTTTTCTGAATAAAACGCAAAGTAAATGAGTTTTACAGATGGCAAGAAAAAAAGTGACCACTGACAAAAGTATAATAATAAAATGCCTAGCTAGCATTCCTTGAACGGATTGACTGCTGCCTTTCATGCAACAGTTTTAGAATAGGATCATATGTTAAAACATGTTGTAGCCGTTTTTGTCTAACCAGGAATTTAACATTGTGTGCAATCTCATACTGCGAAATGTCACGCTCAGCGTATGTGTTGTGAATAACTATCAGCTACAAAGATTAACTCAGCATCTGTAAAATCACAGCCATTTTTGTGTTGGTTAATGCTGATTAGTTGTGGCAGCCATTTTGAACTGGATTTACTCCACAATGTAATCAGTTATAGACTTAAATCCAATGATTTCTGATAGTGTCATTCAAAGTGACCAAGTTGTTTATGAGATGTTTCGCTAACAATGATAGAGTTGACTGAAATGTTTTAAGCACATTCTGTATTCCTCGAAGTATGTGTTGGAGATGATCCTCAGCTATCAAAACACAATTTTTTGTGCAATATCTGTAATACTGACTTAGGTAAAACTCTTTTTGTGCTTAAAAATGAGTTGGCTTTGGTGGCCATCTTGAACTGGATTGACTTCGCAAGTTAATTGTATGTAGATGGAAATCCATTGATATCTTTCCAATAGTTTCATTCAAATCCATGTAGTGGTTCATGACATATTTTGCTAACAGACAGTGCTGACTCCAATAGTTAATGGCAAAGCTTTAAAAGCAGATCTTACACGACCAGTTAGTGCTCAGAGTATGTGTTGGTAATGACACTCAGCTACTACCACACCCAGTTTGAGCTCAGTAACAGGTTGCTTAACTATCGTGGCCATATTGAATGGGGCTGACTAAAAGTTTTTCAGTTGTAAATATCTACTTAGGGATTAGTTTCTAGTGAGTTTTGCTAAAATCTGTCTACTGCGCCCTGTTGCCTTCGCTGGAGGGCAATAATAAAAAGAGTAGAAGAGTGCCATCCCTTCTGGGCTTTCTAATATCGAACGTTTTAATCTTTTTCTGTTGATTTGCTGCACAGGGAAGTACTATATAGCCACCATGACCATGGTCACAGCCTCCACGGCTCTCACCATCTTCATCATGAACATTCACTTCTGTGGTGCCGAGGCCAAACCGGTTCCCCACTGGGCCAAAGTGCTCATCATCGACTACATGTCCAAGATTTTCTTTGTGTATGAAGTGGGAGAGAACTGCGCTTCTGGCTCCTCGTCTTCTTCTAGCTGCCTGCAGGAGGATTCTGCTCACCAAAAAGTCAACTCCCATATTCACGCGAATGGAAAACCCAGAGGTCAAGAGGGTCATCAGAACCATAAGCACCCCCAGTCTCAATCTTCCAGGCAGCAACACCGAGTGAAAGTCCACCACCACATCACCAGAGAAGAGAGCAGCCACCTGAACAGCTCCGCACCTGGAAAGTTTGAAGTCTCTAATGGGAGAATCCCAACGAGTGACTACAGCGCAGCAGATCAGAAAGTTCATCCTGAAGACCAGAATCCTCTGTGCTGCTCCGAAGATGTAAAACCTCCCCCTCAGGGCCCGACTGTAACCTTTGGCCCCTGCATATTCTGTAGCTATGCCAGTGGAATACCTAACGTGGACACAAAACTGGTCCGCAACGTGGAGTATATCGCTAACTGTTTTCGAGAGCAAAGAGCCACGTGCGCCAAGGTGGCCGAGTGGAAGAAGATAGCCAAGGTGATGGACAGATTCTTCATGTGGATTTTCTTCATCATGGTTTTTCTCATGAGCATCCTCGTTATTGGCAAGGCTAAATGAGCAAAAAGGAATGTTGCAGTTTTTCTTTAATATCTGATTCAGTGAAAACCTTTGTGTCAATTACAAACACAAAACACACATTTAATTGTAGTTATAAACTTATATTAGCGTTTTTATTTTTATTTTTTGTTAAACATCGTTGATCATAATGGTTAGAAAATAAACAAATGACACTTATTTTTGGCAATATACATGCAAGGTATAATATTCCTCTAATGTAGTGTACCTTCTAGTGTACTATTTCCTCAAACGAAGCTAAATGAACCGAACTATGACATCATAGGTGATCAAAAAATGCATTCTAGTTTTAAAGGTACTCATTGAAAATTATAAAATGAAACATAATATAGGTTATTCATAACTTTATCTGTCAAAGCAGCATCAGAAAGTTTTTCCAGGAGTTTTCCAGATGCATTGTTATGTACAGTAATTCTGAAATGTGAGAACTTGACTGAATCTGACAAAAACGTGAAAGCTTGATTTTACTAAAATGACCTACATGAGTCTGGCTGCTCGCTGTATTCAGTTTTGCTTTATGCATCAGATGCATTTCCAAAAAAACTTTTATTCCCCAAGTCTTTTAAATTTAGACCTATCTGCATACTTTACTCAGCAAATCTAAACACGTACCAGTACATGTCAATTAAAACTGCTAGACTTCTCCGTCCCAAACATCTCTCCTGAACGTCGCCATTGGTGACCCATGTTCAGTCACTTTGGTTGGTTACAAAGATGTGGTAGTTGGCAGCTGTTCACACATTTTTTTAAATTTTTTTTTACAATTTTTTAATTAATGAACCAATAACCATCAATATGAGACAAAATGATTTTTTGTTTTCTTCATCACGTTGCAATGCGTACCTTTAAAACTTTCTTTGCTCTGTTTCTTACATTCTTAGTAAAAGGATAATTCAGACATTTGTTAAAAAATATGAATTTTTAGTATCTTACCTGTTGAGGATAGCTTATAATTTTGACAAAACTGACAAGGTAATGGCGAGTCTGAATAAAACTAAGACCAATTGCTGCTTTCTTAAAACAACTCCAGTTTTTTAGCGGTTCATGTAAATGCTATTTAATAAACCCTAACATTGCTGTCTGTTTTGTGTATTTATTCTGGCAGAAATATTAACTTGTTTCTCCAACGAAGTTAAGTCAGGTCCTCTGGACGTTTTTTTGTTGAAATGTTTTGTCCTTCATCCAAAGAACTTCATCAGTCCGAGTAGACACAACAAACGCAGTCCCATAAATGGCTCTTATGGGACTGGGGTGATAAGAAACCATCTTATCACCATTAAATTGATTGGCCCACTATGTGAGTAAGCCACTTATGGGACTGAGTTTACTGTGTCTCATCTGACTGATGAAGTCCTTTGGATGAAGGACAAAACATTTCAACAAAAAAAAGAAACCGTCCAGAGGAACTGACTTAACTTTGTTGGATTTTCTACCTGAATTATTGAGCATGTACTTTAATGGTTTGAACCACTTTAGCTATGGCTGCCTCAGAGTCGTTGACGGGGGAGAGGGTGGACTCCAGAAACCATCATATCACCATAAAACTTGTTGGCCCACTATGTGAGTAAGCTACTTAAAGGACTGAGTTTGTTGTGGCTCCTCAGACTGATGAAGTCCTTTGGATGAAGCATGAAACGTTTCAACAACAACAAAAACAACAACAAAAGAAACCGTCCAGAGGACCTGACTTAACTTTGTTGGATTTTTTTAACCTGGATTATTGAGCATGAACTTTGATGTTAACTTGTTTCTGTTTGAAGTGGCCAAGGTTGCACCAGAAATGCCACGTTTAACTAGTGCTGCTGCTATTTATGCTGAAAAACAACCATAAACCTCGTTATATAACTGCATAATGTGAAACTAATAGCGATGTAAAGGTTTATAAATAATGTTTGCATGAACTGCTGAGACTGAAGTTGTTTTAAGGTGAGAGTAATCCACTTTGTTCTTACCTCAACTAGGACTAGCTCATCATTTCAGTCAGAACCAAACTCTGTTTTTACAAACTATAGTTGTTCTAGCAGCTTTCTGCAACAGGTAAGTTATTAATTGTATGCACATCCTCCCACATTACTCCCGCGTTCAGTCAGTCACGGTTTTGATATGTTGGAACTTTATCATGTGATCACTGAATAAATTTGAGTGTCTCTTCTGTTAAAATATGGCCTGTGGAGGCGACACATGTCTTATTCACCAGTGTGAAATCAGATGCCTGCAGGCTGAGAGGCACAGTGTCAGCGTGCACCGCGGAGCCACCGAATCATTTTTCTGTTTAAATCATCTGGTGAATAGTTAATGAGCCAGCTTTGTTTGTTGCACAGCAAGGACGTAAGTTAATAGTGAGCATTAATTATGCAACAAAAGCGCACACAATTGCACCCTTTGTCTTTTAACCCCCACTCCTTCCCCCATCCCCACACACAAACACACACACATCTTAGACTCTGATAGTCAATCATACGTATTCATTAATGTTTATACACAAGTAAATGACAGGTTTAAAACGAATAAATGACCAGAGGACAAATGGAACCAACAACTAAGACATAAAGAATACAAATACAGTTCTTATACAGTTTTTTTTTGTTTATTTGAAGTTTAGAGTTATTTGCACACCACTCACACTCAGATTATTTGTAAGTTTAGATTTATTAAATTTTATTTTTGTTTTTTATTGTTCATATACTGTAAATGTATAAATATAAATCAACAGGTTGATTTATGGCCAAACATAGAAAATATATGAAGTCACATAAAGCAGCTTGGAAGCTCAAATTATTTAAAATACATTTATTTATGATTTGTACTTTTATGTTGCAAAATAAAATAAATCCATCCATTATCTTTCTTTACCCACTTCTTCCATTTTGGGTCATGGGGTCGCCGGTGCCCATGTCCAGCAGTCACTGTGCGAGGGGCGGGGGACACCCTGGACAGGTTTCCAGTCCATCACAGGGCCACATGGAGACAAATGAAACAACCATTCACTCTCTCACTCACACCTAGAGACAAAATAAAAATGCTACAATGTTACAAAAATAAAAAAAAGTAGAAGTACAAATACGACTTATAAATGAGTCGCAAAAAAACCCCAACTTTCAGGTGGTCAAAAGTAGCATGCTCAAAAGTGTTATATAACCTCCTTAAAATGATACAAAAAGAACAGTTAAATAATAACAAAAAATCCACCAAAATGCATAAAGTAAAGGTATTTTGTGAGCATCAATCTCAAAGCTGTAGTATAACTGCAGTACCATATGTTTACAGTAGATGGCGCTAAGTTCGCATACTTTATTTTGCTGCCTCGGGGAGAAGATACCTACTTGTCCTCGGGGCTCACAGCTTGAAGCTTTATTTATGTGGCATCACAGGAGCACAAAATTTGCACTTTAATGTTGCTTCCAATGCCTTTTTTTATTTTTTAAATCTCCCAGAGTGATCCATGCATGACATTTCATTATCAAGAGAAGACAAAAGATGTTGACTTTCTATTCCTTCAGTCCTCAAGGAGGTTATTCTACAGCAAGACCCAACTCACTCTGTGCTCAATACTTCAATAATTAAATATAAAAGCTATTACTGAAATTGAGCTAGGCTTTAAAAAAAAGGGAAAGACTTGAGGAGCTTGAAGAATGTCTTTTAATTGTGCTGGGAGTCTTTCCACTGTGGATTCATCTCTGCAGTAATCTGGCTGAAATGGGGAGAAGCTGTTTGTTTCTTTATCCTGCTCTCCAAGACCACGTGGTCTGAATTATGGGATATGAACAAATGAAGCAGCTTGTGCTTCAGAAGACAGACTTACCAGGAAAACCAAGTGCCAGGCAACAAATTCACAGAGCTCTATTGTTTATTATTATTCAGGTTTAAACTCACAAAATGGCAGCATGCAGATTTTTTTAATGCCGGCAGAGGTAATTTTTGGTTGGATTGCAGGGAGAATCTCAGTGTTTTGTATATGCTTTATGTCATCTTTTGGGTTATTTGTAAGAATTTTTAATCTGATAATGTTGGTCATAGAAAATACTTTTTAAGGGTTTACTTTGCAAATGTCCCGCATAACCCGTGGAAAGGAAATCACCCATCAGAAGAACGATTGGGCTCAGAGTAATGCTGAGGTTTGAGAACTCTGATAGCTTTTGTTTCGAACTTGCCAGAAAATTAGTTTATATACAGTATATATAGGATTTTTTGTACAGTAATGTATTTAAAACAGAGGAGCAATATGACTTCAGGCACATTAATCTTCTTCATCTGTTTACATCTTTTTTATTATGATGGAAACAAAATATGTACTGGACTGGAGACCTGCAGGTGTATTTTGCCTCTCACCCACTGACAGCTGAGCAGAGGCACCAGCTCCCCTCGACCCTAAACAGAAACAAACGGGTAAAGACAATGGATGAGTGGAGAAAAAAATAGTTTGAAATGCTGAGCTTGGTATTTGAAATAATTATTTTCTATTTCCGTAGCAAACACAATCTTCAACCCTAAAGCCCAAGGCAATCTTTTTTAATCACCACTTGAAAAAGACTTTTTATATTTTACTAATAACAAATGCAAACATGTAAAGCCAGATTTTACAGCCATGAGGTCTATGAATCAGAGACCCTGAGAGAATTTTGAAATACCCTTTTACAACTTTTGCAAGGCCAGAGCATAAAACCTCTTCTCAGTTGATTAACAACTAAAATTTATAGTGTAATCATGTGTTTTTAACAATAAATAGTGTTACTGAACATGTTTCACTAATGTCTAAAATGCATCACCATCGTATTTGATGCAAATGCCACATGGTCTAATGCTGCTCTGGCCTAGCTGTCTGCGAACTGCAGGCTTACCATAAAGACAACTTAAATATACTAAGCGACACCATTTCAGATCGGTTGAGGCCCAGGTTAACAACGACCGCCACCGGTGCTGTTGACAAACAGAGTGCAGAGAGTGCGAGGAGGGAAACGTGTCAGGAGACAGAGGGAGAAGAGGAAAGTCAAGAATGCAGGACTGAAGGTGACAACTCAGTGTGGGGACAATGACAAGCAAAGGTAGAGAGCTGGCTGACATGATGCTGAGAAGGAAGGTAGATAGTCTATGTTTTCAAGAGTGGATCGGCTCTGAGACTCTTCTCGTTTGCTCTGGTGATGGATCGACTGATAGATGAGGTCAGGCAGGACTCCCCGTGGACTATGATGTTTGCCGATGACATTGTGATCTGTGGTGAGAACAGGGAACAGGTGGAAGAGAACCTAGAGAGGTGGAGGTATGCACTTGAAAGAAGAGGATTGAAAGTCAGCCGTAGTAAGACAGAGTAAATGCGTGTGAATGAGAGGGAGGCTGGTGGAACAGTGATGCTACAAGGAGCAGAGGTCACAAAGGTGCAGGACTCCAAGTACTTAAGGTGAACTGTCCAGGAAAATGGGGAGTGTGGTAAAGAGGTGAAGAAGAGAGTCCAGGCAGGATGGAGTGAGTGGAGAAAAGTTTCAGGAGTGATTTGTGACAAAAAGGGTGTCAGCAAAGGTCAAAGGAAAAGTTTACAAGATCGTGGTGAGACCAGCTATGGTTTGGAGACAGTGGCATTGACAAAAAGGCAGGAGAAAGAACTGGAAGTAGCAGAAATGAAGATGTTGAGGTTCTTCTTAGGAGAGACAAGGATGGATAAGATTAAGAATGAGATCATCAGAGGTACAGCACAGGTTGAACAACTGGGAGATAACGTTAGAGAGGACAGACTGAGATGTTTTGGACATGTCCAGAGGAGGGACAGTGGGTATGTTGGTAGAACAAGGGCTTAATTTGAGCCGGATCCTGCCGGAACAGGATCCGGGAACTCTTATTTTGACAAGGTGTGTTTCGGTAACTGATTGCTTGTATCCAGTAACTCTCAGGCTTACTAATAATAAAGTTATGAACAATTTTGACTGCCTTGAATGAGTACAACCTATATTGGATATGTAATCTGAAAATATTTACATAAACAATCATTTTAAACATATTAGCCACTCACAAGCTTCTTAATATCACTTAAGAGCTGCCCCTTCAAGTAAGCATTTCCACCTCCCTTAAAAATATCCCCACCCCTACAGTCAAAAACACAAAATATGATTAAACAGCACAGCTAAATTGCAAATCAGTTTTACAGTTTAAGTGGGTCATTAATACAATTTTGATTATTTATTAAAAATATGAAATAAATGTTTGATGGGTAATCTAAGTGGGATGCTTGACAGATGCGGAGATTGCTCTATTCACACAAAGAGAGCTGTTGGTCAGACCACTTCTTGTCACTCTTTAAAATAGTTATTGAATCGTGTTTACAAATGTAGGTAAACATACGTTTAACAACCCGTTAAAATACACCAGAATGCAGGAAATGGCATCTGCTTTATTCATAATTTCTGGGGAAAGACCCACCACAGAGCCCCCTGCCCCACACTATTTGCATTCCGACATCGTTTGGTTAACAAACTAAGCACTGTACTGTAGAAGGATGTTCGAAAAGCAGCTGCCATAAAAAAAGACAAAGGGGAAGGCCAATAAGGAGATATATGGGTGCAATTAGAGAGGACATGGTGGTTGGAGTGAGGACAGAGGATGCAGAGGACAGAAGGAGATGCGGAGGAGGACTCGCTGTGGTGACCCCTGAGGAGGGAAAAAACAAAAACAGAAGAAGTAGAAACATACTTTTACAAAAAGATCATCTTTAACTGTATGAAAAGGTGCAGTTTGAAAGTATTTACGTCTGTATTTTTCCAGACATGTAATTTTGGAATGGAAAATTTAAATAAAGTACACTTACCAAAAACCATGTTGAAGCTGTTTTATTTATTTATTTATTTATTTATTTATTTATTTATTTATTTATTTATTTATTTTTCTAGTCATTGATAGAAAATAAATTTGAGATTGTAAGGCTCCAGTCCTTCAGTTTAGGAATCGGCACACCAATTTTAAATACATTTTATAAAAGTTATGCACATATTTATTATTGTAGGGCGGCTGTGTCTGAGTGGTTAGAGCAGTCATCCTCCAATGCAAGAGTTGGGGGTTCGAATCCACCAGCAGTCACGTGCCGAAGTGTCCCTGGGCAAGACACTGAACCCCTCGTTGCCTCTGATGTGTGTCCCATCGGTGTATGAATGTGATAAAGCACTGATTAGTCTCTTTAGAATGATTTGTTCAATTATCTTTGTAGAGATCTAGTAGAGTGCTATATGAATGGGTAAATGAGGACACAGATTGTAGTGTAAAGTGCTTTGAGTATCTCAATAAGATAGAAAGGCGCTACAGTCCATTTACCATTGTTTATTATCTGGGTGTCCAATAAATATTTTATTGACCAGGGAAGCAGAAGGAAACACAACAATTAAAGTGAGAGGACTGACTAAAAGCTGTAGAATCAGTGTGTAATTTTCAATAAGATAAATAGAACTGTCTTAAAAAGGACATTTATATAATTGAAAACATGACGTTTGTATAATTTAGTGAAAAAATGCCTGTACTGCCCTCACAGCTCCTAAACATTTGTTCAGTTCTAAGTTTTTATTGTTATGATTAAAATTAGAATGTGGTATTTTCTCCAGCTGACAATGGGCAATGTTTATAGTTTTACAAATTTGATGGCTTGTTTAGAGATTAGTGAACCTTGAAATAAGAATTTCTTGGGTTTTTCCCCTAATACTTATTTATTGCTTGTTCTTAAATAGAATAACTCTTGTTAGTTCCCAGTTAAAATAAACTGAAGGGTGGCCCCAGGGTGGCTCTGTACAAACCCTGTGCCCCGAGCCCTGAAAGTTTTCCTGTACACCCCTGCATTTTGGGGGCCGAGCCTCCTTCGTGTGAATCTCAGTTTCTGAACAACAGCAGGAGCTTTTCACTACTGTGGTTATCAGTTCTCTGAAACGTTCAGCAACACTTTAACAAGTCCTTGTGGCCCCTGACATCACGGTAGGACTTCCATGTGTAAGGAGATCATTCAATCTTGATCCACGAAGAGACAGTGCTCGAAATTAGCATGCAGTTGCCATGGTGACGGAAGCAAGCTGCTCCAAATCGCGAGACTTTTGGTGAGTTTGCTTTAAAGAACTCTGCCAAGCTGGTTAAACGTTGTTTTTATTTTTGATGTACAACGTTTCTTTTTATATTTTAATAATTTGTCGGATGCGCCCCCCCCCCCCCCCCCCCAATAACGGTCCGTGGATATTAGACAGTTAAGAAACGAATAAAATATCATCTGTTAACGTTACAACAGTTTAGCTAGCAAGAAAATGGAGAAAACGCAGAAACGAGTAGCCTAGCTTACATGTTTTTTTTTTTAACAGGTAACAAAAGGTAAGTTTTCATGTTTTGACGACTCATGTCTGCTTAGTTTAAATCACTGCCAGGGCTAATTTTATATAACTAGTAAACATTCTTTAAAACAGAACACCATTTGATGTTATTTCCATTTAAAGCTAAGCTAAGGATACACAATGAAAAGTGTTAATGGTGCTCCTTTGTACTTAAACCATACATTCTAATTTAGGCTGCACTTATGTAATGTTTTTTTTTAAAGTTGAAAATAACTTACTAAACTAAACAAATGTCAACTACAAGAGTCTTTGACAAATTTGTCCCCAGGCTTCAGGTTCATGGCTTTCTTAAAAAGATTTCATGTTTATGTTTTCAGGTGTCGGAGAGAAAACACAAACATGGTGAAGAATAAACAATCAGGACGGCGTCTCATTTGCACCAAGCCTGCAAAGAGTGAGTCTCAGACCGCCAGCAGCAAAGACCAGACTCTGCTGGACCAACCAGGGGACGGTGTCACACCTGCTGCCCCACCAGAACCTCAGATCACCAGTCGGAGTCAGCAGGGCTTCCCCGACAGAGTCTACCTGCTGGCATCGGTCATCTTCCAGAACAACCACCTAGAGAAGCCCGCTGCTCAACGATTGGTAAACTACAGCACAGACAGGCGGCTCCCGCTGCCTAAGGTCAAGTATGAGGAGATGCAACGAACAGCTTATGAGCTGGCATTCAATACGCTTAAATGTAAGTACTGATCTGTCAGCTTTAGGTTGATAGGGAAAGCTTCACCTTCATTTATTTTTACTGGCTCCTACGTTCTGTTGCTTTGATTTTTTTCCATCATGTTAAGTATCCCATATTTACATCTACATGTCAACCCACTTCTAAAAATTATAAGACAGTATCATATCATTAGCTGCCACTTCATAACAGTCAGCACTTTCTTTTATTGCTTGTTTTTATTTTCAGCAATGTCTTTGCAACGTATTCCGAACTGAACAATAAGCAAAGTTAATGTAAGTAAGAGTCCACTGAACACACTGTTCAAGTATGAATAAAACAATTATTTGCAATCATTTATTCAAACACCATAACAAAAAAAGGGCAATATACAGAAATGCATCTATGCAGTGTCTGTAAAACTGTATTCGTCCACAAGATTTACAGCAACAGAAAAGAATCAGTTTACTAACCCTTGCTTCATGCTTATTTGTTCTCTGCTTTGAACATTCTGCTTTTTCTTGGGCGTGAGGACACTTATAAGAAGTTTTCATCACCTCTTGTCTTGATTTATGAGCAATACTTGAATTATTTGATTAAACCTATTCGATTCCAAGCAGACAAAACAGCCATTTCAAATGATAATTAATAGCTTTGGCAAAGTTATTTGACAGGCTGCATTGAATACAGATAGATTGATGAAGGGCATGTGGAAGAGACAAAAACAAAAAAAAAACTTGACGGACCAGAGGTGGGAAACGTATGAGGCTACAAATCAATTTTGCACATAATCTCTTTACTAGGACCAGGGTGGGGTCTGGGTGACTGAAGTCATAGGGGTGTGTAATCACCATGGTGATAAGGGAGGGGAAGCGAGCCAACTGCCACTGCAGGAAGAGAAGAAATCGATTTGACGTGTTGTCAGTGGATAGAGAGGTCAGGTAGCAGGAACACCCTCAAAGCCATACAGGATTTTCTTCATACTCACTATCTATCCACTGAAACCTGGATAATCCTCACACCGACATGTTCCCTCGTTAATGCGACTCGCCTCAGAAATATCCATCATCACAAGCTCCAGCATCTTACTGGAGTAGCTTTTATTAGTTTTTCAGCTGTAAGTCATAATATTTACATCCTCAGGTGAAAGTGAGCAGATTACATTGTATGTACCGGTATATATATATAAAACCTCTTTACTTTAATTCTTCAAGCCTTTTTTTCTGTGAGGCCTGTGCACACGCACCACCACTTAAAACTTTACTCTTTGCCCTGAAACAAGAACGTGTTCAATCAAAATTTAAATATAGTCTTGTGCAGATCTTAATTTAAATAGAAATAGAGTATTCTTTTGTACTGTTACCATTGTGGCAGTTAGACAGTTCAGCTATTCTTAAGTGGGATTCTTAAAGGAAAGGTTATAAGCAAATATTATTTTACCTGTTGTAGATAGCTCTTTTGCCCTCTACCTGGGTTGACAAGATAATGGCTAGTACTAAGATAAAAAAAAAAAGTCCATTCTAAAAAAAAAAAATCACAGTAGTTCAAACTTTAAAACTATAAACCTTTATATTGCTGTTAATTTGGTTTATGTTAATATTTACAAAGAGGGGCAGCACGGTGGTGCAGGTAGAGCTGCCGCCTCTCAGCGAGAAGGTCTGGGTGGAGTTTGCATGTTCTCTCCGTGCATGCATGGGTTTTCTCCGGGTACTCCGGTTTCCTCCCACAGACCAAAAACATGCATGTTAGGCTGATTGGTAATTGTCTCTAGGTGTGAGTGAGAGAGTGAATGGTTGTTTGTCTCGTTTGTCTCTATGTGTCCCTGTGATGGACTAGAGACTTGTCCAGGGTGTCCCCCGTCTCTCACACAGTGACTGCTGTATATGCGCACCAGTGACCCGAAATGGAAGAAGCGGGTAAAGATAATGGATAAATAATATTTGCAAAGAATTTTAAAGTTATTAGCAATCAAAAATAGTGGCAACTTGCTGGTGCACTTTAGTGCAGCTTCTAACAATAATATATATGATAATAATGCAATGTGAAATAAATGTCAGTGGAAAGGTTTATAAAATAATGCTTGCATGATCCACTACCAACTTTTTGAGATTGGGTTATTTTAATTAACACTGGTCATGGTCCTGCTGTAAAGCTAGTCAATCCAGTCAGAGCTAATTAACTTTGTCTTAATTTGAGGTTGTTCAAAGAGCTATTAACTGTTCATAACATTTTAACAGAACATTGAACTATCCCTTTAAAGTAGTTCTTTTTATTTTCATGTTCTGTTCCATGTGTCAGACATTTCTGGATTTTATTTGCAGAACACCGTCTGTAAAGTGTCAGACAACAACAACAACAACAACAACAAAAAGAGAACTGGGGAAATCACAATTTTAATATTTCTTTTTAAGAATTATTCACTTGTTTTCTTAATAGTGTAGTTTTTGACTTATACTACAACCTTGTAGATATCAGATACAACAAACATTTTTAAGTACTTATATTTCTGTTAAAGAGACCTGCAACATTTTAAGAACATGCTCTTATTTTGTTCTTGTTAGGGTAATTCTCAGTGTTGAAATATTAACACAGTTTCAACCAACCGCTGCTCTTCCTACAAACTGGACACCATCTGGTGTAGAAATAGATTTGCTGCTTACATACATACAGACAGCCACACATAGTGCACACACACACAAACGTAAATGTGTGTGTCATTTGTGTCACTTCCAGTGACTAATCCAAAATTGAGCTGAGCTCTAGAAGAAATGCTTCAGCAGCAAAAACATGCAGAGGAAAATGCCAATGAGCCCTGGTATTGATCTTGTTATTATAACTCTTATCTGCTCATAACAAAAACTTGCTCAGTAAGCTCAATCTTGTGGGCTGACAGCACAGACTTGTGTCCTGCCCTACTTTTGTGCCAATACGTGCACAGTGATGATAGTAAACCTGCTGTAATTGTGACATTGTAAAAACAAAGCTGAAGCTGCCTAATGACAACAAATTATTTTTTTTATTTAGCTTTTTTTTGGCACCTCATTTGTGGTGATTTTTAAATTATATCTCCTGTGCTTTTTCTATATATTTGACCTCTCTACAAAACCCCTTTTCATACCTGAGCAGCTATCTTTTGTTAATCATTGATCCAGGAGCAGATTATATTGTCAAGTCTTCACATCTTATCAGTTTCTAATATAGTTTGATCTCATAGTGGGAAGTTTTTGCTGATGTTCAGCTTTGTAAAGTAATTTTTGACAAGTCTTTGCTGGTTAAAATTTAATTGACCTTCTTGCTTGCCATGAAAGCCTCCCTCCTCCTTTTCTTTTCTGCCCACTGCCCCTGAGAGTATTTCAGCTGCGTACTGTCCAACTGGGCTGCCAACTGCAGAGTTACTGAGGCTGCCGCTGTCCGAGCACAACAGTTTTTTGTGTTTTGCTGGTCTTACAGCATGAGAGAGAAATACAGTTTTTGTCCTTGACCTTGGATCACAGAACTTACGCCTCAGCAAATATTAAACTGTAAGATACATAGAGCATTTTAGCCCAAAGGTGAATGTGTAACTTACAGCAAAGACCTTTTCTTAGCCTGCCCACAGTTAGATTAATGTCCAGCTGTGCTTGCTGTGCGACAAAAACTTGGAGACCTGAGTCAGATTCAGCACTAAGAATGTGTTTGGCTGCAGCCACCATCAGTCACTCACTGCTCATTGTTCAGGACTTGAATGGAAGTCACAAAACACAAACTCAAAATGAGCCCTGCAGTGAATACTGGTCACCCCCAACTTGACACTGGAGGACACTCCTATTTTTATTTATTATTATTTTTTTAAGTGACTGTTGCACACGAACGACATGGTTAGGATAATCTAACTCCCCCCCCCAAAAAAAATAAAATCTCAGCAATGTTCCGGCTCTTTGATTACGTCTGCTGTAAGTGATTTATGGCTGACATTTCTCTTTTTTTCTACACAAATTGCTGCATGTGATTTATAGTGTGTGGACAACCACTGACCTCTTCACGGTTCCAACTGTCAAGGCCTCCTTTGGGGTCTGTTTTGCAGCATGTGGTGAGCGGTTATCTGCTAACAGCTTATCTTTAAGACCTTCTGCAGAATTTTAAACCTGAGCATCCATAAAGACCACTGCTAATGTTGTATGCCTGTGTGTCCTCAATTAAAGATAAGCTCTATCACAAAGAAACATACATTTTGGTTCACCATTTTGTGTGTGTGTGTGTGCAGTTGTACCTGCAAGGAGATATGTCTGTCTGTCCTGCCCTTTTGGAGATGCCCCATGTGCATTTGGCCAGGAACCAGCAAACAGTTTGCCATGGTTTGTTGTGCTAGGTTAAGAGCAGGGTGTGTGGTTTCCATGGTGTTTCATTGCATGTGGTTTGTGTTGGAAATAATGCAGAAGGTGACCACACAAGTAATAGGCCCACTAAGCACATTTATTCATTTTGTCACTGTGGTTTCACGCTTACACAAACACATGAATTCAATTTCCATCTTTTATTTGCAGCTCAACAGTAACATGATGATCCTGTTTTCTGTCTTATTGGATTCACACATTAGAGAAGTTATCCTTTTTTTTCTGAGTTTCTGTAAAGTGCTACTTGCAGCAGGACTTTAAAAGCTGCTTTTTTTAAACTCAAAAGTGCTGCTATTTTTTAATTATAAAATGAAAAAAATCCCAAGTAAAATCTATTTACAAGACAACGTTCTACTTTAGTGATATGACAATTAGGGAAAGGAATTAAAACCCCTATGAACCACATTGAGCAAATTTTTACGAGTATTTTTAGATCCAGATCTAAGAAAAGCAAAATTTGAGCATTTATTTTCTCATTGAGAAATTTCACATTTAACAGATGTTTAAAAGTTAAATAAAAATGTTCATTCAAAGTCCAGATAACTCTTAAATTTTAATAATAATAAAAAAGTATACTATTTGTTATTTTTTCAACATTAAGGCAAACTTTACGGGGAAAGTACTACACATTGCCAATCCTTGTTTATTAGATCTAATGCCGTAAGTGTAATCAGTCCTTTTCACACCCCCATTCACCTCAGACATAACAAATGAAAGAAAGCAATGAGGCAAACGTAGAATCAGATGAGCTCTAATTAGGCATTAAATAAGCATTTAATCACAGAAAATTAAACCCCAATCTAATTGCATTATCTTTCCAAAATGAAATTATCATCGTTTAGGAGGCTCTCTAGGAACCACTTTAGCTCTTTCTCTTAAATGTTTTTCTAACCCTGTTTTTATCGTCAACTGTGGCTTTGTCCTTTGTCTTATAAATGTACCATCAAAGTAATTTCTTCTGCCTCCTTTGCCCTCTGCAAATAAAAGATGCTTTCTCAACCAAGATAATTAGATTTTGATATAAAGAGGCACAAATGTGCATCATTATTACTCATTCAAACAATTAGTGTGCGAAATCCTCATTATCGAGTTAACGTTCCACCTAACCTTGTATTAACTTTCTTTCTGCACAGATCAAGAGTTGCTGGAGGATCTTATGATCAACAGCCACTTTTATCTCACTCAACCAGTGGTAGGTGAATTTCAGTGTTTTTAGCACATCTGTCTACAGTGCTTAATCACTTGTGTACATTGGCATATTGTGAGAGATTTAAGAAGCTGAGTGGTGGCATGTTGCACATTTTGGTAAGAACTCTCTGATATTCATGTGGTCAGATTTATATTCCACATTCCTTTTGTATTTTGTTTAGTATTTAGTTTTTGCACTAAGATGTGTCTTTCATAAACCCAAAAAGCACCTTGATTAATTTGCGTTTTATACCTCAGTCAATAATAATCACTCACAGAGCTACAGTACGTGTACTGGTTATGCTTTTCTTTGTCAAGCACACTCTAATCAATCGCTAATACATTCATAATACTGCAACAAGAAAGGAGCAGTGTTTCTGATAATTGAATTCTACATGTGGCTGAGTGGTTAGAGCAGTCGTCCTCCAATGCAAAAGTTGGGGGTTCAAATCCACCAGCAGTCACATCCTGAAGTGTCCCTGGGCAAGACACTGAACCCATCATTGCCTCTGATGTCTGTCCCATATGAATGTGATAAAGCTCTGATTAGTCTCTTTAGAAGGATTTGTACAGATCTATTAGAGTGCTGTGTGAACGGGTAAATGAGGGCACAGATTGTGTTGTAACGCACTTTCAGTATTTTGATAAGATAGAAATGTGCTGTATGTACAGTCCATTTACGTTTCCCACAGCCAATGTGCTAAATGTTATTATTTGGCTCTTA